GCTGCTGGAGCTGGGGGCCCTGCTGCGGGAGGCACTGGAGCTGGTGACTCTGCTACTGGATTTCCTGGAGCAGCTGGTCCCGGAGGTGCTCGTACTGGAGGAACTGGAGCTGCTGGGACTGGAGGTCCTGCTGGACCTCGAGGTGCAGCTGTCGACTGTGAGGTTGAAGGCCCTAGAGCTCGAGGTGCTGGTTCTGGGGGTGCTACTGTTGGTGGCGCTGGAGCTGGAGGTTTTGCAGCTGCTGCGGGTGCTGGCGCTGGAGGTTCTGGAGCTGTTGAAGGTGCAGGCGTTGGTGGCACCGGAGCTGGAGATTCTGGAGCTACTGAGGGTGCTGGCGCTGGAGGTTCTGGAGCTGCAGGAGGTGCTGGAGCTACTGGTGCTGGTGGCACTGCATCGCCGCGACTGTTCTTCGCTCCGCCGTCACCTTCGTCTCTGCCAGCGCCTGGCTCCGTGCTTCGCCAAGTTCTTAGCCTCCCATCTTCTACTAGTCTTCCGTTACAGCTTGGCTCACCGTTGCCTCCTCCTTCTCCTTACACTAAGCTGACAGGCGGTCTTGCTGAGCGTCGTGAGCCTGCGTCTCGTCCTGTCTCGCCTGTTCGCACTGTCCGTACTGGTAGTACTGGTCGTCGTGTTCCTCGTGAGCGTCCGCCGGCTGTCCCCGACACACACCTCATGGCCCAGCGTCCTTCCTCTGCTCCGCAGCGTGTTCCCCTGCCGTCCCCTCCTGCGTCTTCTCTGCCTTACGTTCCAGAGCCTGAGTCTGACCGCGCTCATGCTACTCACCCTACTGTCACGCGTCTCCTTGCCACTGTTGTCACTGACACGTCGTTTAAGTCTGTTGCTGCGTCTGCCTTAGTCGCTGAGCTTATTGACTTTGCTGCTGCCTGTCGTCTAGACTACGCCGCTAGTCTTGTTGTTTAGTCTGAGTCTGTCTGTCCTCCGTCCGACCGGGGTGAGTGTGCACTTGGCACGGACGTCCTTGAGGACACGCAGGTGGACCTTGAGGACAGGCAGGAGGACCTTGAGTGTCTTGCAGCCGCTGCGCCTCATCTCATGTCCATGCTGCTTGCCCCTGAGGGAGACCCGGATGCACCACACATCCCGACTCCGCGTTCTTACGCTGAGGCGATCGCAGGTCCCTATTCCGCGCCTCATCTCTGCGTCCATGGCTGTCTGCGTCCCTAAGAAGTCCACCCATCCTGGAAGTCCACATGCACTTACGTCGACGAGGTTCCCTCTCCTAGGGCAACATCGTCGATGGCATGTGGATTTTCAGGGTGCAGCGGCCGCCAGGTTCTCCGCCTGTCATCAGAGCTCGTTACGTTGCTCGGGGCTTCAATCAGCGACACGGAGTTGACTTCTTCCAGACCTTCTCCCCCACCCCGGAGATGACCACTCGTCGGGTGCTGCTGCACGTTGCCGCTCAGCGTGACTACGAGCTTCACTCTCTTGACTACAGCACAGCCTTCTTACAGGGCAGCCTGCACGAGGAGATCTGGCTGCGCCGCCCACCTAGCTTCACTGGGTTGTTCCCTCCTGGTACCCAGTGGAGCCTCCGGCGGCCAGTCTACGGTCTCCGCCAGGCGCCGCGTGAGTGGCACGACACACTGAGGACGACACTTGCGGCTCTTGGGTTTGCTCCGTCGACTGCTGACCCGTCGCTGTTTCTGTGCACCGACACTTCGCTGCCGCCGTTCTACATCCTCGTGTACGTCGACGACTTGGTCTTTGCCACTTCTGACACTGAGGCTCTCGCCCTGGTGAAGTCGGAGCTACAGAAGAGACACACGTGCACAGACCTGGGTGAGCTGCGCAGCTACCTTGGCTTGCAGATCACTCGGGACAGAGCACGCCGCACCATCACACTGACTCAGTCACACATGGTGCAGCAGGTACTTCAGCGCTTCGGCTTCACCTGGTCCTCGGCACAGGCCACTCCTCTGGCTACAGGTCACTCGCTCTTAGCTCCACCTTCGGACGAGTCCATAGAGCCGAGTGGTCCTTACCCAGAGCTAGTGGGCTGCCTCATGTACCTGATGACCTGCAGTCGTCCTGACCTTGCGTACCCTCTTGGCCTTCTGGCTCGCTACGTGGCTCCTGGTCGACACTGAAGGTGCACATGGATGTTGCTAAGAGGGTACTACGCTACTTGTGCAGTACATCGGGCATGGGTCTCGTGCTCGGAGGACGGGGCGACGTTGTCCTCACTGGTCACTCAGACGCTTCTTGGGTTGACGACTTGGCTACACAGCGGTCGTCACAGGGTTACACCTTCAGCCTTGTTGGCGGTCTACACGCTCTTCCTCTGTTCTCAACTCCAGTTGCAAGGCTGAGATCCACGCCACAGCCATGGCTGCACAGGAGTTACGCTGGCTTACCTACCTGCTGACCGACCTGGGAGAGCGGCCTCGTTCTCCTCCAGTGCTGTACGTAGAGAACAAGGCCGCCATTGCCTTGTGTCAGGAGCACAGACTGGAGCACAAAACGAAGCACATCGATCTGCGTTACTTCCTTGCTTGAGAGTTGCAGCAGCGTGGTCAGGTTCGTCTTGCTGACGTGGCCACTCAGGCCAACACTGCTGATATATTCACCAAGGCACTTCCGCCTGGTGATCATCAGCGCTGTTGTACTTTGTTGGGCCTTGTGCCTACGCTTCCTCACTTGCTCTAGGCTCTACCTGTACTGTGATATATATATATATATATGTCAAATAACGAGCTCTAAGAGTAATTGAGAGTTAAGTAGGCCTATGCTTAGTAGCCTAGGCCTAGGGGATATCGAGTGGTTTGTGCCAAGGGAGAGTGTCGAGAAAGTTGGGAAAGGTGAATGTTCACTATAGTGCTAGGGTACATATAGTAAACAGAGCATGCAAAGAAGGTGCACCACCAACAATTTATAATAACTACACTAAACTACAGCTACAGGCAGTTACATATATAAATTCTGACACTCGCCCATAACTGCCTGCAGCAGGAGTTTGTGCAGAACACAACCTGCATGGGTACACAAGCAACAGCAACAGCAGGTACGATAACAGAGTAGGTACAGCAGCAAAGGTACAGCAAGCAATTCCTGCCACCCCCTTACCCTCTCCCCCCCAACCACAGGAGGGGCAGCAGGGAGAGTGAGGAGGCGGGCTGGCTCTGGCTGGTCACCCCCTCCATCTCCTCACCCTCCCCCTCCCCCTCCCCCCCACACTGCTGCAGGAGCAGCAGAGGGGGGAAGAGAGGAGAGGTGGAGGGACGGCTGCTGGATGGTCTCACACCCGCCACCCCAGTGCCACTCCCCCAGCTCCCCCACACCCTCACACCCTCCCCCCCAGCGGCACCTGCAGCAGTGGGAACGAAAGGAGGAGGAGGGGAAGGGAAGCACACTACCCAACACTCCAACACCCGCCACCCCCATACCCTCCCCCCCACGGCTGCAGGGAGACGAAGGAGGAGGGGGTGGGCGGGAAGAAAGCCGCAGAGCGGCTACATAGTGTCGGCGCAGGTAGATCAGGGGCGGCTGCAGGGAGTGCAGGCGCGGGGTGAAGCAGAGGCACCGCCGAGTGCGCCAGGGGCGGGTACTTGGCGGTTCAGGACACCGTCGCAGGCGCCAGGGGCGGTTCCGCGGCGGCTCAAGGGCACCGTCGCGCATGCCACGGGGCGCACGACGAGCAGTGCACCGTCGCGTGCCACGGGGCGCACGACGGGCAAGTTCAAGTTTAGGGCACCGTCGTGTGCCTCGGGGCGCACGACGAGCAGGGCACCGTCGCGTGCCACGGGGCGCACGACGGGCAAGTTTAGGGCACCGTCGCGTGCCACGGGGCGCGCGACGGGCAGAGAAGGTGTCACTCGCCACCCGGGGGCGGGACAAGACGAAAATCGCCACGCGCCCTAGGCGCGCGACCGGAAAAACAGCAGCGGAAGCATAAGGCGGGCCCACAGGCCAGGACGAAACACGCTCTAATGCCATGTCAAATAACGAGCTCTAAGAGTAATTGAGAGTTAAGTAGGCCTAGGCTTAGTAGCCTAGGCCTAGGGGATATCGAGTGGTTTGTGCCAAGGGAGAGTGTCGAGAAAGTTGGGAAAGGTGAATGTTCACTATAGTGCTAGGGTACATATAGTAAACAGAGCATGCAAAGAAGGTGCACCACCAACAGTTTATAATAACTACACTAAACTACAGCTACAGGCAGTTACATATATAAATTCTGACAATAGATACCCGCATGCTTGCTCCTGCTAGGTAGAGATCACTGTGCTGTTGTTGTTGCATATATACTTCTGCATGTGAACTGGCCTTTGCTTGTGCTCACTGTGTGTGGTGACGTTGTGATCCACCCTGAGCTTGTTTTGCTTCTCTTGATTGGTCTTGTGACCCTATGCTCTCCCCCACTTTGCCTATGGGGGTGTGTCAAATTATATGCATGTCATATATATGTAGGTTGTAGTGGGGTAGCCAATATGGGGTACAACCCCATTAGGGTTTCATATTTGTACCAAACCCTGATCTGGTCAATTCATTCCTGCTAGTAGATTCTAACAAGTATTCGTTATACTGTACTCGGATTTCCAACACCATTTATGGGGGAATAACCCAGATGTACTCAAATAGAGTACCCGGGTCCGTATTATAGACCCGGGGGTCTACAACTGGGGGGGTCCCATATACGGGGGATTACAGGTACACTTGACCTAGTTGCAGCACTAAGGAATATAAAACAAAAGGACAGCCTTATTGAGCAAATCATCATGCATCAGGTGGAAGGAAAAGGAGAGGACTTACAAAGCTGGATAGTATCGGGATTCATGAGCCTCACTAACACTACTTGAACTCCCAGCTAACACTTTTCGTGAAGCCAGAAGAAATAACGAGAAGCTATGGGACCATCCATGAGTTTTTGCCGTGTTATTTTTGTTTAGTTACTGTAGCCACCCAAGCATAGAACTGGCAGAAATTGCACCAAGGCTAGCCTGTGTGCACCTTTTGAAAGCACGTATTGCATTAGCTTCAGATCAAGCTCGCGAAGAAAGACGTTCCAGGAGAGTCGGGCCAATGCGAGTGATGTCACCTGGTGGGTCAGACAAGCAGAGCACAGTGGGCAGCAGAAGCGAAGAATGTGCAAGAGCCTGAGATGACAGGTAGAAAGAGACAGGCTGACAAGCTGGTATGACATCCGGAATCAAGAATGCTGGGCCAGCTCATGGACTATCATCATGACTGTAAGAGGCAAGGGCTGTGAGGGTGTAATAAGACGAACATCGAAGGAGAAACCTATGGTGTGGAGCAGCATGAGGTAGTATTAGGCGTGTGGTGGAGCATGGGAGGAGAGAGGAGATGAGGCGAGCGGAGAGGAGAGGAGAGGAGAGGAGAGGAGAGGAGAGGAGAGGAGGCGAGCAGAGAGGAGAGGAGAGGAGGCGAGCAGAGAGGAGAGGAGAGGGGAGGAGAGGAGAGGAGAGGAGTCGAGAGTGGAGAGGGGTGGAGAGGAGTGCAGGGCAGACCTGCTCCGAGTGTCATGATGACCACGTCCTGTGCCTTGAGCCCGTGCCGCCCCCCCGCTATGCTCACTGCGTCCCACAACGGCCCCTCCCACTTCCCACCCTCGCTGCTGCCTGCACTGCTGCCACCGCTGCTGCTGCTGTCGCCTATAATACCACTGCCATCTGTGGTGCTCCCTGTGCTGCCTGTGGTGGCGGTGGCAGTGGCAGTGTCGGTGGCAAGGCATCGTGCCTTCACCTCCCACTCCAGCCGGTCGATCACATCGTCCTGTGGGTTGCATGAGATGGGGGGTTGCGTGATGGGCGGTCGCAACACGAGAGGGGAGAGAGAGAATGTGGCATGTGTGTGAGCTGGTAGGTGCAAAGGTGAGGTTGATGGGAAATTTAAGACAGCGAGACACCAGGCCGAGTGGAAGGAGAGTGTGAGACGTGAGAAGGGGGGACGCTAGTGAGATGTGGGATGAGGCGGAAGCAGAGAGGAGGGGAGAGTGGTAAGGCAGGCGGTTCACAAGGCTGCGCATGTAGGCAGCAGGCAGGCGAGTATGGCCGTGTCACTTTTGAGAAATCTCAAAAGTGGTGAGTGAGAGGGGCGGCTCACAAGGCTGGGCACGTAGACAGCAGGTGGGCCAGTGATGTTGCCCGCCAGGTCAGCACCAGAGACACCCCACCGGTTCTCCTCGCGAGCAGAGTACACCTGCAGGTCATGGCACATGCCAGGGGCGATGGGGGAGGGGATGACAGTAGGATGCCTCATAATCTGCTGGACAAGCCCCACTAATGCTTCTTGTGCACAAACGACATGTGCAGGCATGCCATGGGGAATGATTCTGAGATGCCTCTAGTTCTTGTCCCCAGTGGAGACGAGTGCGCGTGCACGTGCGGTGTGGGGGATGGCATTTGAGATGCGCGTGACAGTGGTGGGCAGAAGAACTTGTGTATTCAGATAGTGCTTCAACATGCACGCAGAGAGAGACACCTGCTCATGCGTGCATGTGCGCACAAACCCAGCTGCTGCTTCAACCCACCAGTGGAATCCATCCCACGTGCTCACACACGCGGTACTGGGAAGTGGTGCTGGGGACTGCCAAGGAATACAAGTGAGCCCCTCTGCTCTGCTCCCATGCAGCCCATGCAGCATGCCTGTGCTTCATGTGTGAATGCGAGTGGGTGTGAGTGATGGGCTGCGCACGAGAGGCATGGCAGGTAGCGCCCACCTGAGTGACAATGACGCGGTCTGCTGCGCTGAAGGAGGGCGCAAAGTCGTCCATTAATTGAGCCAGCCGACTGTAGAGCAGTCACAGCGGCGCGGGCGAGGGGAGGGGAACGCACCGGAGGAGGTTGAGAAGGCGAGGAAGGCGGATGACAGGGGAAAGAAGGACGTTGACAGGGGAAGGAAGAGGTCGGAAGAGCGAACAAGAAGGGGTTGGATGGGGAAAGAGAGGTAAGCAAGTGACAGGAACAACGGTGAGAGGGAGATTAGAGGATTCCTGTAGGCTTTAAAAAGCCATGGATCGAAAGCTGCAGATGAAGCAGAGAGCAAGAGCAACGAGTGTGAGACGCTCAGGAAGCGCCTGAGAGAGTTGAAGCTCAAAATCAAGCTGAAGGGGGTGACACCTGACGATCTGCAGCACGATAGCCGTGAGCAGGCAGGCGGGTAGGCATGCAGAGCATGCAGCAGGAGAGGAGCAGGGCATGCGAAGGCGTGTAGTACGAGTGAGAGGAGTGCAGTGGCACCTGAAAGTGTGCGGCTGGAAGACCACCCATATGGGCTGCTCATCGTATCTCTGCCTCGCTGCCTGCAGCACTGCCCGCACCTGCCCCGAGGAGGTGGAGACAGAGGAGGGGGGGAATTGGCGGGAACGTGCGAGGGGAGCTTGAGGGTTGGGGAATGGGCACCTGGGATGGGCCGCAGCACATGCTGGTGCCACGGTGCCTGCCCATTGAGTGAATCATTGAGTGAATCATTGAATGAATCATTGAGTGAATCATTGAATGAATCACCTAGCAAGCGCACCTCAGAGGGGGAGGGGTGTGACCGCCGTGTGCGCCAAAAAGCACTACCCACATGCACAAGGCAGCGCACCTCAGAGGGATGGTGGGCATAGTCATCCACGAACGTGGCCCGCCACTTGCCCGCCCGCCCCACCACCTGGAACCGCCGCTCCGCCCCCTCAAACCGCCCCAGCTGCTCCGCCGCCTGTGCCACCGCCGCCCGCTGCAGCTCCAGTGATGCCGCCTCCACCCGTGCCGCGTCGCCAGCTGTCGGCGCGTCACGGGCTGCCAGCTGGGCGGCAACAACGAGGACCTAAGAGAAGTGGGGGGGGGGGGGGGGGGAGGTGATGGCATGAGGGGATGTGATGCATTAAGGAAAGGGCTAAGGCTATGGATCAAAGTGAGACACGTTAGAAGGAACCAGAACTCATCAAGACAGATCCGCCAGGACAAGGGAAGAAGAAACAAGAGAGCACGCTGTGAGTCGTAAGCACGGATGCTCACAGCAAGGGACATTTGAGATGTGACTCAATAAAACGTTGGGAGTTTTGGAGCTTACAGCGAGGGAGTTGAGCACGTTGTGCACGCCAGGCAGCTGCAGGCTCACTCGCGCCATGGGCCGGCCGGCAAACACCGTCACGTAGTCCGTGCCGCCCGCTTGGTTGGGCGCCAGCATGATGGCCCGCCAGTCGTTGCCCTCGTCCAATCCATACGTGACAGCTGTCCGTACCTCCTCCTCCACATCCAGCCAAGCGGCCCTTGCACTGGCGCCAGCAGCAGCAGCACTATCAGGACCCTGTGAACTGTTATCCGTGCGAGGCGAGGCAGCGGCAGTGGCAGCAGCATGAGGGGCTGTGGCCGTGGCGTCGCCGTGGCTTGCTCGCAGGCGGGAGACCAGCGCTCGAGAGCCTGCACTGGACGAATGGGGGGGCGGGGTATCGGAGGGGGAGGCGGGGCATGTTGGGAGAGCAGAGGTGTGCGCGCTGGGCCTCTCTGTGCAAGAGTGGTCATGAGTCTATTTTTGAGTCGACTCACAAATGGCATCTCTGTGCGAGAGTGGTCATGTGAGCGAGTGGCATGGGAGAATGCATGCTGCTGGCCCAAACACACGCACACTCACAGGTGCCTACCCCTTCTGTACCCCTTCTGTACCCCTTCTGTGCCCCTTCTGTACCCCTTCTGTACCCCTTCTGTGCCCCTTGTGTGCGCATATCATGCATGTATGGTTGCCCCACGCCACTCACTTGTCGCCACATGCTACAAGAACGCCGCCCCGCTTTATGCGGCTGGTGAAGCGCGCGAAGGCTGTCCGCACTGCTGCCTGAGTTGGGAGTAGATGAGTAGATGTGGAGGGAGGTGGCCAGGATGAGTTGGGGAGAGCGCAGAGATGGGAGGGATGGAACAGGGATGGGGAGGGATGGGAGGAGAGGAGGCAGAGAGGTGCGTGTGGCACAAACAGCAAACACCATTCCTGCATCCCCAGTAGCAGAATCACATGGTGAATTGCCAAGCAGGTCCCCCCAACTGCATCCCTCTCTCTCTCTCTCTCCAACTGCATCGCTCTCTCTCAAACGGTCCTTTGTATTGATAATAGGGGCTGGTACATGCATGCAGGTTCTAGGGCAGGATTTCAACTGGCACGAGCAAGCAAACAAAACCCAATGAGCACCTAACCTAACCAAGCAAGCACACCCCCTACCCTTCCCCCCCCCCCCCCCCCCCCCCCCCCCCTCCCCCGTCTCTCTAAGGTGAATCTAGTGTTGTGAAGCAGTCACCGGGGTTCATCACCCCCTCTGGCCCCAGAGGGGGGTTCTCTGCTCGTGCTGCCAGGTTCAGCTTTGTGAGAAAGCTCACTGCCTGAGCTGTCTGGAGGGCAATAGACCAGCGCTGGCGGAACTGATGGAGCATCTTTGCGGCCTGATAGGTAGATGGGTCCGCATCGCTCTCTCTCTCTCTCTCTCTCTCTCTCGAACGGGCCTTGGTATTAATGTCAGCGAGGTACACAGATGGTAAGGCTACAGCAATCTCACGGCCAGGCTACAGCAAAACAGCAGCTAACCCCGCACTATCCCAGCCCCAGCCCCCCCCTCCCCGCCCGGCCCTAATGGCCGGAGGGGTCTTCTATCAACTGATACAGCTGCCCTTCACTCATTGGAGTAAACGGGCCCTGCAGGCCGAGCGCATCCGCCGTGAGGGCCTCATGGGTCTTATCCCTGAGGGCAGTGGCTTGCGCTCTCTGCAGGGTCACACTCCACCGCTGCCGGTACTCGGTGAGTAGCTTGGCGCATTCCCTCGACTTGGGGGTGGCGTTGAACCGCCGCATGGCCGCTAACTCCGCGCAGCTGCGAAGGAATTCCAGGACTCCACTCGAGGGGTAACCGTAGGTCTCAACCGCCAAGGCGTAAAAGCCCACCCAAGCGCTCCGCCTGGCGTATTTGCTTGCCTTCTTGTCCGCCTGCATTCTAGCAGCCCAACCGGGAGCTTTACGGGCGTATTCATCCTGGTGGGAGACGGGGTCCGTGACCGTGATGTCACAGATCCACACTTCACCGGTGTCGGGATGGCGGATAGAGATATCCGCTTTGAGGTTTTCGACCGGTGAGTAAGCCGTTGTCTCCTTATGCACGGTGAAGCCCGCTTCCGCAGCTATCTTTGCGCACTCGTCCCGAAGGGCATTGTGGGTTGCAATTCTCCCCCCCCCTTTCTCGCACCGCATCAAATGGTTCGGTAGGCGGTCGTCGGGGAATGTGGTGCGGTATCTGCAGTCGCAGCGCCTTGGCACAGGTAGGGGGAGGCCTAAGCGGAAGGAGGCCGCTGTGGAGAACTGAGAGGGCCCGAGGCGGAGGGAGGAGATCAGCGGGACGGCGAGCAGCCAGTCCCCTGCGCCGGGGCCCAAGAGGGACTGCAGCCGCTGCGTGTGTCCGAACAGTGGGTTGAGCTCCATCTCCCGCGAGCTCTCGAGCAGTTGCATGAACCTTGCAGTTTGAACCGCGAGGGAGAGCGACTGTTGGAGCTTTGGCCCGTCCGGTCTCTGTCTCCCCACTTGGAGGGCCTCGATCCCCTCAGGAGGCAGCGCGGCTTCTAGGGCAGCAAGGCGCCTTGGGAGGAGGGACGTAGATTCCTCGTTGGAGTCCATTAGCGGCAGCAGTCCAGTGAGAGCAGGGTTTGCCGCGTCGCCGAAGGTTCGCAGCAGGTGTGCAGCAGCAGTGACTGCAGCCAGGTAGGCATGTCCCCCCTCCACTGCAGGGTTGGTGATGCCCAGGCCTCCCAGGGACGCGGGCAGGGCGGCCTGGTGCCAAATCCTCTCCCTCTCGACCCGGGCTCTGGGGGTTTCTGTGTGTGCTGCGGCAAGGTAGGTATGGAACAGTTCTTCCCCCCAGGCGGACCATTCCCTCAGCGGTAGGGCTTCAAGCGGCGTGGCTCTGACCATGAACGAAGCGCGGCGGCTCACGCAGCGGGTAAGTAGGAGCAGGCAGAGTTGCGGGTCCATCTGGGAGAGGAGCGGGAGCGGTTCAGCAGCAGCTTTAAGGCGTTCCCGCACTCGGGCAGCGCAGCCGGCGGGGGGCCCAATCGGGCTGCCCAGGACGCGGATCCCGTCCCGGGAGATAGTGACGCCGTGGGGCAGAGCGGCGGGCTCCAGGGCTGTGGCGGACCATGCTTCGCATTTCGCGGGGTTGTGGGACAGGCCGTGGCTGAGAAGTGCTTCCGTGAGGTGGTTGAAGGCCGCCGTGCAGCTCGCAGTCTCGCCTAGCAGGGTGATGTCATCTGCGTACGCGAGGAGGACCACCTCTGGGTGGGCCGTCGCCGTTGCAGCGAGACAGGGATGGATGCTGGCCGCGAACAGCATAGGCCCCAGTGGGTCACCCTGGCGCACGCCTCGCGCGCTCTGTAGAGGCGCCGCCTCGAAATCGTGGTCGAGGTAGAGGGCTGATGGGCGGCCGTATGAGAGGCGGACGAGGGGGACCAGGGTGTCAAGCTTCGTGCCTTTCAGTCCTTCAAACACCGCCGCGCGCTCCACGGCATTGAAAGCGTTTGCCAGGTCGATCTGGAGGGCCGTTGCTCCGGGGAACTCCTCCAGGTAGGTGCGGGCCGCGTGTATCGCTGCCTCGATGCCCCCCCGCGATCGCCACACCGAATTGTAGCGGGGTGAAGTGGTCGCGCGCTGCAGGGGCGGCCAGGAAGAGCGCCGCCTTTGTGACAATACGCAGCAGACATTCGCCCACGGCTATTGGCCTAGTTCCGCCTTGGGGTTTCGTGAAGGCGAGCAGGCGCGAAGCGGTGAGTAGATCTGCAGCCTCGGCGCTCAGTTTACCCGCTAGCGCCGTGTTGGTAAGCGCGTGCAGTTGTAGGAGGACGTCGGTGTTCCCAAGGGCCGCATCTCTCAAGTGCTCGAAGGTAGTCCCTGATGGCCCAGCCCCTACGCCGTTGGGGCAACGGGCCAGCAGCTTCCTGAACTCGCGAGCTGTGATTGAGGGCAGAGTCTCAGGGGCAAAGTCTTGCACCCAGACTGGGATGGCTGCGGTGGCCCTTGGGTGCCTGGCCGTGAGCGCAGCCAATACGTCAGGGGTTGGCGAGCAGACGGGCGTGGCAGTTAGCGACTGGAGAGACTTCGCCAGGTTTCCCCTTTTCGCTAATCCCTCGGCTCTCGCCAGCTTTCCCGTGGTGTCAGGTACGTGGCGTGGTTGGGGGTTGTTGTTCACTGCTTCTGCCGCCTCGTCGTAAAGGCCGCGCCACTGCCCTTGGCGAAATCTCGTCAGTCTGTCGCCCATTGCCTTCCAGTCTGGTTTTCGTGCAGATGACGAGCGCAGGAGAATTCGCGGGAGAAACATCAGCAGCTTCCAACCAGGAGTGGAATCAGGGGTTATGGCGAGGTGCAGAAGTGGGGTCAGCAGGCAGATGGCGAAGGATTCGCGAAGTGGGCGAGGAGGGTGGCGGGCAAGGGGAGGCTGTCTGCTGTCGCGCAGCGGGCCGAGGTCCCAGTTGGCGATGTCAGCGAAAAGGTCTTGACGTCTTGCCAGGATGTCAGCGCTGATGATTGGGGCGGGGGTGGCAGGCGTTGGGCCCGCGTTACTGGCTGGGGCGGTGGTAACCGCAATGTTGGGGGCGGTTCGGTTTGGTCTCGCGGTCCGATTTCTGGGGGTTGGGGTTGCAGATGCGGCTCGGCCCAGGTTTGGGATTTGCCCCACACCTTCGGATCTGGTTTGGTTGGCAGGAACGCCTCGGGCACGTGGGCTGGGGACCTCCTCTCCTTGGAGTAGGCGATCCAACTCCTCGTCATCCTCCTCGACTTCAACCCCTAACAACCCCTCTCTTTCAGGGTTAAATAAGGGGTCCCCCTCGTCACTTCTCTCATTCTCCGTAGCCTCCTCAGCCTCCTCGCGAGGTTCCTCCTCGCCGCCTCTCGCGCTCTGACGTATCAGCCTCTCCGCGTTTCTCGCGAAGCCGCTGGCTCCTGTGCGGCGTCTGTTCGTGCCCCGCGCACCGCCGCCTCCCCGTCCCCGCTCGCTACCCCTTCGTCCGCGGCGACTGCCGCGTCCGACGCAGATTCCGCGCGTTGCTCTTGCTACTGCGACTCCCTCGCCCCCCGCCAGCGGCGCCGCGGTCGTCTCGCCTTCCCTTCGTCGGCGCGCTGGCATCTGCTGCGCTACGGTCGGGAGTGATGGACCCGTCCGCAAGACGGGATCCGGAGCTTGAGCATTCCGCGGAGAGCGCGCCGCGGGAGCCTGCGCCTGCCGAGCCTCGGCCACGACTGCCTGCGCATCCCTCCGCAAGCGAGCCCGTTCACCGATTCGAGCGGGTGCAGACCCTTCCCCATCAGCCAGCCTCGCGCCTCTCCCCCCCTGAGTATTCGTGGGCTCCTGCGCGTGTAGCGTCGAACCGTCCTGACGGTCAGCAGCCGCAGCAGCGCGGGCGCTCGCCTCAGCGTCATCCCCAACGGCAGCCGTCTCCTCGTCGCCTATCTCCCGCGCGTCGCGAACACTATCAGCGCAGGGAGGGGGATCCGCGCTCCCCTGAGCGTCCTCGCTCTCCTCGGCGCCCGTCTCCTCGTGGTCGAGCAGGCCAGCGCTCACCCCGAGCGCGATCCCCCGCTCAGCAATCACCTCGGCGAGCTCCGGCGACGCGGGGGAAGGGGTCGCCTGGGCGTCGCTGGGAATCAGGTCGTCGCGAGCCGTCCCCTCCGCGTCCGAATTCGGGTGGTTCCGCTGGGCGGCGGGGCCGGCGGAATGGCGGAGGGCGCGGCTCATCTGGCCGCCAGCCGGATCCTGCTCTTGATCACGCTGCGAACACATTCGTGGATGTGGTGCGGCAGGCCCGGGCGAGCGGGGGGCCGACTCACTCTCTCTCTCTCTCTCTCTCTCTCTCTCTCTCTCTCTCTCTCTCTCTCTCTCTCTCTCTCTCTCTCTCTCTCTCTCTCCAACTGCATCGCTCTCTCTCTCTCTCTCTCCAACTGCATCGCTCTCTCTCTCTCCAACTGCATCACTCTCTCTCTCTCCAACTGCATCGCTCTCTCTCTCTCCAACTGAACCGTCACAATCTGCTCAGAGCCTGGTCACGTCATCCCCGATCACCAGGGCCACAGTCTGAGGAGTGAAGAGTCAGCACCCAGTCAATACCCAATGATCCCCCAATGAACCCCCAACGAGCCCCGTGTGGCGCACCTCGCTGTGAAAGAGGTCCACGTGCTCCCACTCCACGTTGGTCACCACCGCAATGCCCGGGGATAGCTCCAGGAAGGCACCGTCGTACTCGTCCGCCTGCCAGGGAATGCACGGGACGGGACAGCCACCCAGCGCAGAGCAGTGCAGTGCAGCGCTGCATTGGAACGCCGAGCAGAGCTTCACAAAGAAGCTGCCCGCTCGCTCTCTCTCTCTTTTGCCCTCGTTTTGAGTAGACTCAAAAGAAGCTGCCCACTCTCTGTCTTTCTCCCTCTGGTAGAAACAAACCCTTGTCTCTTGAGGTGCCGTGCGGAACAGTGAGTGCTCGGCTCATTCGGGCTGAAAAACACACGAAGAATCTCGTGGGATCATCCAGTCTTGCATGCATTGCATCACATCACATCGCATCGCATCGCATCGCATCGCATCGCATCGCATCGCATCGCATCGCATCGCATCGCATCGCATCGCATCGCATCGCATCGCATCACATCACATCACATCACATCACATCACATCACATCACATCACATCACATCACATCACATCACATCACATCACATTGCATCACATCACATCGCATCACATCACAACACAAGCACAACACAAGCACCACATGCAACTCACTCCCTCGCCTCTCTCAAGGCTCGTGGGTGTCAAGCGTAAGAAATCAAGGCTCTGTCAAAGCTCCGGTTCTCATGAGTCTAGTCTAGGCCCATCAAGGAGAAGGTTTCACGTGGGGGCCCAGGCCAGCATGAGAGGGTTTCACATGGGGGCCCAGGCCAGCATGAGAGGGTTTCACATGGGGGCCCAGGCCAGCATGAGAGGGTTTCACATGGGGGCCCAGGCCAGCATGAGAGGGTTTCACATGGGGGCCCAGGCCAGCATGAGAGGGTTTCACGTGGGGGCCCAGGCCAGCATGAGAGGGTTTCACATGGGGGCCCAGGCCAGCATGAGAGGGTTTCACATGGGGGCCCAGGCCAGCATGAGAGGGTTTCACATGGGGGCCCAGGCCAGCATGAGAGGGTTTCACATGCAGAGAGCCTGGGCTGCTAGGAGGGCCGCTCACCTCCAGCACCATCATGCTTGCACCGTCATCCACCAATGCGTTGCCGCCACCTGGCAACTGCAGTAATGGCGGGGTTTGGAAGAGGGAAAGGCGGCGCGGAGAGAAGGAGAGGAAGATATGGTGTGTGTGTGGGAGAGGAAACAAGGAGTCAAAACAGCAAGCGCTTGCATGGTTGTCTTGCCGGTAATGTGCTGAGGGAGGGAGCATCAAGGCGACGCATGTGGAGTCAGTCACGGTGACGCAGGCAGGTTCACAGCGAGCAGGCAGGTTCACAGCGAGCAGGCAGGTTAACAGCGAGCAGGCAGGTTCACAGCGAGCAGGCAGGTTCACAGCGAGCAGGCAGGTTCACAGCGAGCTGGCAGGTTCACAGCGAGCAGGCAGGTTCACAGCGAGCAGGCAGGTTCACAGCGAGCAGGCAGGTTCACAGCGAGCTGGCAGGTTCACAGCGAGCAGGCAGGTTCACAGCGAGCAGGCAGGTTCACAGCGAGCAGGCAGGTTCACATCCCAGCGAGCAGGCAGGTTCACAGCGAGCAGGCAGGTTCACAGCGAGCAGGCAGGTTCACAGCGAGCAGGCAGGTTCACAGCGAGCAGGCAGGTTCACAGCGAGCAGGCAGGTTCACAGCGAGCTAGGCAGGTTCACAGCGAGCAGGCAGGTTCACAGCGAGCAGGCAGGTTCACAGCGAGCAGGCAGGTTCACAGCGAGCAGGCAGGTTCACAGCGAGCAGGCAGGTTCACAGCGAGCAGGGCAGGTTCACAGCGAGCAGGCAGGTTCACAGCGAGCAGGCAGGTTCACAGCGAGCAGGCAGGTTCACAGCGAGCAGGCAGGTTCACAGCGAGCAGGCAGGTTCACAGCGAGCAGGCAGGTTCACAGAGAGCAGGCAGGTTCACAGCGAGCAGGCAGGTTCACAGCGAGCAGGCAGGTTCACAGCGAGCAGGCAGGTTCACAGCGAGCAGGCAGGTTCACAGCGAGCAGGCAGGTTCACAGCGAGCTGGCAGGTTCACAGCGAGCAGGCAGGTTCACAGCGAGCAGGCAGGTTCACAGCGAGCAGGCAGGTTCACAGCGAGCAGGCAGGTTCACAGCGAGCAGGCAGGTTCACAGCGAGCAGGCAGGTTCACAGCGAGCAGGCAGGTTCACAGCGAGCAGGCAGGTTCACAGCGAGCAGGCAGGTTCACAGCGAGCAGGCAGGTTCACAGCGAGCAGGCAGGTTCACAGCGAGCAGGCAGGTTCACAGCGAGCAGGCAGGTTCACAGCGAGCAGGCAGGTTCACAGCGAGCAGGCAGGTTCACAGCGAGCAGGCAGGTTCACAGCGAGCAGGCAGGTTCACAGCGAGCAGGCAGGTTCACAGCGAGCAGGCAGGTTCACAGCGAGCAGGCAGGTTCACAGCGAGCAGGCAGGTTCACAGCGAGCAGGCAGGTTCACAGCGAGCAGGCAGGTTCACAGCGAGCAGGCAGGTTCACAGCGAGCAGGCAGGTTCACAGCGAGCAGGCAGGTTCACAGCGAGCAGGCAGGTTCACAGCGAGCAGGCAGGTTCACAGCGAGCAGGCAGGTTCACAGCGAGCAGGCAGGTTCACAGCGAGCAGGCAGGTTCACAGCGAGCAGGCAGGTTCACAGCGAGCAGGCAGGTTCACAGCGAGCAGGCAGGTTCACAGCGAGCAGGCAGGTTCACAGCGAGCAGGCAGGTTCACAGCGAGCAGGCAGGTTCACAGCGAGCAGGCAGGTTCACAGCGAGCAGGCAGGTTCACAGCGAGCAGGCAGGTTCACAGCGAGCAGGCAGGTTCACAGCGAGCAGGCAGGTTCACAGCGAGCAGGCAGGTTCACAGCGAGCAGGCAGGTTCACAGCGAGCAGGCAGGTTCACAGCGAGCAGGCAGGTTCACAGCGAGCAGGCAGGTTCACAGCGAGCAGGCAGGTTCACAGCGAGCAGGCAGGTTCACAGCGAGCAGGCAGGTTCACAGCGAGCAGGCAGGTTCACAGCGAGCAGGCAGGTTCACAGCGAGCAGGCAGGTTCACAGCGAGCAGGCAGGTTCACAGCGAGCAGGCAGGTTCACAGCGAGCAGGCAGGTTCACAGCGAGCAGGCAGGTTCACAGCGAGCAGGCAGGTTCACAGCGAGCAGGCAGGTTCACAGCGAGCAGGCAGGTTCACAGCGAGCAGGCAGGTTCACAGCGAGCAGGCAGGTTCACAGCGAGCAGGCAGGTTCACAGCGAGCAGGCAGGTTCACAGCGAGCAGGCAGGTTCACAGCGAGCAGGCAGGTTCACAGCGAGCAGGCAGGTTCACAGCGAGCAGGCAGGTTCACAGCGAGCAGGCAGGTTCACAGCGAGCATGCAGGTTCACAGCGAGCAGGCAGGTTCACAGCGAGCAGGCAGGTTCACAGCGAGCAGGCAGGTTCACAGCGAGCAGGCAGGTTCACAGCGAGCAGGCAGGAAGAGGTGCCCGAGAGAAGTGGTCAGCGCATGAGAGAGGCAGTGGCATGGGTATGTGAGCGCACCTGAGGCACATTGGCGCCGATGACAGCAGCGAGGGGCAACCCCATCTGGCGCAGCACCCACGTGAGCATGGCTGTCGTCGTGCTCTTGCCTTCCAGCCATCGTGAGGACGCACGTACGCATGGTGGGAGCAGCCGGGGTGGGAGCAGCAGGGGTGAGGCAGAGACGAGTCACGAGGACGGAGAGAGATAGGAGTAGAGAGGCGAAAAGAGTACAGGGAGCTGTGGCACGAGAGGTGAGAGCAGATGGGCGCCAGCGAGGGCGGCGGAGAGTGTGTCACGAACAGAGGAATGCTGCACATGTAGTGGTGAGGTGACTCTTTGGGACGGTGGGATGGTTAGGAGTTCGGGAGAGGGCAAAAGTAACTAGAGGTCCATGTAAATGGTGCAGGCGGTGAATGGCATGGCACGCATGGCATGGCACGCATGGCATGGCATGGCATGGCATGAACAGTGGACGCACCATGAGTACCAGCGACAGCAACCAAGTCGAATGCTGACGTCATCATGCCAAGCCACTGCCACCGTTTGAGGCTGCAACAGGGGAGAGGAGAGGAGAGGAGAGGAGAGGAAACGAGAGAGGAAACGAGGGGGAAGGAGAGGAGAAGGCAGGCGAGGAAACAAGACGAGGGAAGAGGGGAGGAGAGGAAAAGAGAAAAGAGGAGATAAGAACGGGGGAGAGGAGCTGAGAGGGGAGGGGAGGAGAGGAGAGAGGGGAGAAGGTGGAGAGGAGGGGGCGAGAGAGGAGAAGAAAGGAGAGGGGAGGGCATGGGATGTGACGGGATGGGATGAGGTGAGGAGGTGATTCAAAGGAGAAAGGCGTGGATGAAGTGTGTGGGGCCACAGACTGAGAAGAAGAATCATGTGCTTCGCGACACATTCTCATGCATGGATCCACCCATGTGCATAGCTACCGCCACATGCATACGCATCCGCGTACCACATCAGCATGATATCATATCATGTCACACCATGCATGCACTCACACTGGCATTCTCTCAGCAACCAGCTGTACTTGGGTCGATGACACGTTCACCATCGTTACCTCCCCACCATACTCACCATCAATAACACACCTCATGCACACACACACGCACACCAAATGAGCACGCACACATGCACGCACGCGCACACACACACACACACACACACACACACACACACACACACACACACACACACACACACACACCAGCGCCCCGACGCGGTGCACTCACACGGGCACGCCCAGCTCCCGTGCGCGCAGCACCTCCACATTATCCGCCGCCACCGCACTCGACACCACCACCACCAGCACCACCGCCCCACTCGCTCCCCCCTTCGCAACCCCCTCTCGCCCCTCGCTCCCCTCTTCCTTCCCCTCCGCCCCTGCTCCCCCGTCCGTCCGCGCTCCCCCGGCGGCGTGCAGGGCGCGCTGCAGGGCGGAGTCAATGTGAGCGGCGGAGTGCCCCACGTGCGCCACTGCGCCGTGCTGCTGCACGCGCTGCAGCTGCGCGCTCGCGCTGCTGTCGGAGCCCGACACCAGGTAGCCCTGAGGAGGAGGGGAAAGGGGGGGGGGGAGGATAGAGGGGAGGGGCAGAGAATCGCCGTTGTAACAGGATGGAACCGGATGGACGGATTGACGGCAGCAGTGACTGTCACGAGATTAACGACCGCTAGATCCATGTGTTGCAATCTTAGGGATCATGGTACTCGTGCCTTCAGCGCGCGCAGCTAGCACAGCGCGCGGGCAACGCTGCTGGACGACTCATGTTCACGTGATGTGACCTCTCTACCATACTATGCGGCCATGCGACCTCCGCGTGCCGCTCACCTGCTTCAGCGCCACTGCGGCCAGAGCCGACAGCCCCGATCCGCCGATCCCGATGAAATGCACGCCCACGGGCCTTGAACCTTCCGCGCTCTCCGAAACCTGCCGCACTCCCCTTCCGCCTTCCCCTTCCTCAACCTCCCCGCCTCCTCCGCTTCTCCCTCCGCCCGCAACCTCCCCGCCTCCGTCCCCTTCCCCCCACGCGCGCCCATCAGCGTTGGCCGCTGCGCAGATCGTAGCGCGCCGCGGTATTCTCGCCACGGCATTCCACGTGCCTGCACAGCAAGCGATACCGCTAGCTACGAGTCGAGCGGAAGATTGACGTGGCGAGATCGATCGTTCTGATGACATAGTAGGCTCCTGGAGACTAAAGGACCTGGTCAAGGGCACAGCGAGGCGCGTCTGACACGTCAACCGCCCAGATTGGACCACGCCGGCTAAGGCGGCACGTGGAGAGCTGCATTGCAGCTGCTGCGCGATTGCCGTCATTTCGCGACTCGAGGAAATGCAAGACTCGGACCCGATAGCTGCTTCATTCGGCAATCTCATAAGCAGCTGTTGTGGTGACCAGGTCGTGAGTAAACAGACAACTGTTGAGCTTGTTTTGATCTGTGAGGTAGGATTACAGAAAGGGCGTGAGGTAGGATTAGGTTTCGAAAGGGCATCTAGGGCGTGTTTGGCTTCCAGGCCGCTTCAGAACGTGATTTCATTCGCAGACTGTTTCGAGTTTGTCTGACACGCTCGGTGGAGTACAGTATCGTACGGCTCAAGCGGTTTCATTGACGAAGTCCGCATTTCTGTGCGTTTCGACGAGGGTTTTGGCCTAAAAGATGACCATCATTCATGCAGCCCCTGGGAAAGAAAATACACTTCTGTCACACCAAACCAATTTTAAATCTTGCGAATACCTTCCTAGATCGTACCAAACTCATCCAGTTGCACTCGGACGAGCACTGGGGACACGCCCTCGTGTGTTCAGTTCGTCGGATAAAGTCGTGTGGTAGCAGACTCGTGGAGTAGGCTGCAGTACAGCTCAAATTCATAACGTTCGCCTCGACGTTAGACGGACTTGCGACACCCATGCTCCGCGGCCACGCTACACGAGCGGCGATCCTTAGAGCCTCATTGGCTTCGTTATTAGCATTCGCGGTCCTCTGCTTACATTGGTTTCTCTTTAACGACCCGTCCAACCGAAATCTGGAGTTTGCGAGTTTATTCTCCTCGCAGGAGAGTTCTAATGTGTCGATTTCAGAGGAATCTGAGACGACTCAGGAGTTTCCGCAGAAACAGCCTGAGGACGCCGGGGCGGTCAAAAGAGAGTGCGATTTGTATGAGGGCCAATGGGTGAGGGACACTTCACGCCGTCGTTATTATCGAGGGGAGGAGTGTGCGTGGTTGGGGTACTGGGAGCAGTACCAGTGCCACCGCACGCACAGAGCGCGCAGCAGGGAATCAGGAGGGAAAAGGGAAGGGCCTGAAGGCACTGGGAAGGAAAGGGAATGGAGTCCGAGTAGAGATTCGGAAACTTCTGGTGAACCAAGAGGCTTAAGAGGGTTACGAAACACACGAGAGGCAAGGCACTTGGGAGAGCAGCAGCAGCAGCAGGGGGAGGAGGGGGAGAAGAAGGAGGAGGGAGAGCAGGGGGATGAGCTGTATCGCAGCTTTGGGTATGAGGAGTACAGATGGCAGCCCTCAGGGTGCTCGCTGCCTGCCTTCAATGCTCCTGAATTCCTCTCAAGGTGACTCGGTGACTCTGTGTGTCTGTGTTGCTTTCCTGTGATGCTGTGCCGCGATGTGGTAACGATGTAACATCGTTAGCATTGCAACTCCCATGGAAGCTTTTCCAATCGCCTGTTTCCTCGACACACCAGTAAGCATATCACAGCACAGCACGTGAGACACACGCCTTCCTTCCCCCTCTTCCAGTGCCATGGCTCATGTCTGTCCGTTCCGTACCTCTCTCTATCCTTCTGTGCCCCTCTTCCTCTACCACTCCTTCCCCACCCGCTCTGGCCCCCACCCCTCATGATTCCCGCCCTGCCAGGGTGCGCCATCGCAGCATTGCGTTTGCGGGCGACTCCCTCAGCCAGCAGCAGTTCCTCTCCCTCCTCTGCCTCCTCACCCCCACCCCCCGCTTCATCCCTCTCCCCTCCCCGCCTCCGCCTCACCTCCCCGTCCTATCTCCCTCCTCCCCTCTCTTTCAACCATCCAATCTGAACCAGCCGCGCTCCCTAAACCCCGACCCATCTCAGCCTGACACTCTCAACTCTGCTCCTGGAGCAGCCCAAGCACCAGAGGCCGCAGCAGCGGGCGCAGCAGAGGCCGCAGCAGCGGGCGCAGCAGAGGGTGCAGCAGCGGGCGCAGCAGAGGGTGCAGCAGCGGGCGCAGCAGAGGGTGCAGCAGAGGGTGCAGCAGCGGGTGCAGCAGCGGGTGCAGTGGAGGTGGTGGCAGTGGGGCACCTGTTTGGGCTGTCGTGGGCGAGGAGGCCTGTGGCGGGCACGGAGAGGGGCGGCGCCTTCTGGTTCCCCCATGCCAACCTCACCGTGCTGCAGCGTACCGCCAACTGGCTCGTGCACGTGGAGCGTGTGGTGGCGGGGGGACAGGCGGGAGAGAGCAGTCGCGGGAACGAGGGTGGTGGAGAGAGTAGCAGCGCTGGGGACGGCAGCAGTGGCAGCAGCGACAATACGGACAGCAGCAGCAGTGGTGGAGCCAGCAGCAGCAGCACCATTGGCAGAAGCAGTGGCAGCAGAGCAGCAGCAGCAGCAGAAGGAGGCGCAGCGGGGCAGTACAAGCGAGTGGGGCACTTGTATCGCATGGATGATTTCCTGCACCGCCACCTCATGCGCTTCCATCTCCTTGTTCTCAGCACGGGCCACCACTGGACCCACGACAGGTGACAGCAGTGCGCGCACCAGTGCATCGCTAGCACTGTGACAGCAGTGCGCGTGAGCATGTCTTGGCAGCAAGGATTCGTTAGGAGTGGTATATTTGAGAGGTGTGAGTAGTAGGCAGTGAGAGCTGTAGTCTCATCCACCAGTCAAGTGATTCTGTAGCACGGACAACACAGGAGCAAGAGCAATCCTCCTAGCTCCTTTCCACCTTGTGAATATGTCTTGAATACCCCCGTCTCTCTCCCCCCTTTTCTCCCAACCCATTCCCCCATCTCCCCTCGTTCCCTGCACCATCCATCTCATATATCCCCAAACAGCTTCCAGCGATACAAGCTCGCCCTTCAAACGTCCCCCACCGCCCGCCCAGCCCTGCTCCCAGCCAGCCAATCGGAAAACGCCACGCTGTACTCAGTCCTGCGGCAGGAAGCATTGACAGCTGTCCTTCGTAACATCACCTCCGCTATAGTCACGCTGCGAGGTGCAGCGGCAGCCAGCAGCCGCACTAGCAGCAGCAGCGGCCATGGGGAGCACGAAGCAGGGTCTTCTTCCCCCGTGTTTGCAGGCAGTGCCACGACTGAGTCGTCCCCCCAGCATGAGTCTTATTCCCCTTCCCAAGGCATGGCAGATGCAGCAGTGAGCGGCACAGCGCCTTCCAGTGACCCGCCGCGCATGGCCTTGGGCCCACCTCCTCTGGTGCTGCTGCGCACGCTGTCTCCAGCGCACTTTGCTGCTGGCACGTGGAGTACAGGCGGGCGCTGCGACGGGTTTCAGGTGAGAGCGCTTGCCACTCCAGCGATTCCTGTCTCTGCCTCTGCCTCTGCTTCTGTGCCTCTGCCTCGGTCTGTCTCTGTCTCTGTCTCTTCTCCGACCTTGCGCGACGTTCTTCGCCCTGTGGCACCAAACCCTTGTTGTAACACAACACAGTATGATGGGCTGGGCCAACAGCACGGCCGTACGACAATGGATTCGGATGCTAACAGCACCGACCCACGCAGGCATCTCAGTGTGAGCGTGCCTCGCTGTCCCTGTGCATCTCCCCGCGCCCTCCTCTTCTGCTTTGGTGTTTCTGCTCAGGACCCACTCCGAGGAGAGGAGGCATGTGCACTCTCTGGGCAGTGCAGGGACACAGCAGCCGAAGATGCCTTGCGTGCTGCAGCAGGGGTGGGGAGAGCATCGGCAGCAGATGGAGCAGACGGAGCAGGAGCAGAGCAAGCAGGGGCAGAGCTAGTGCCATCAGCAGGAGATGAAGGACTGGGGGAAGCTACAGCTTTGAGCGGGCTTCGAGCTGCAGCAGAGGGTGCATCAGGGCATTCAGTTACATGGTTACGCTTGATGAAGGTCTCGCTTCTCTCTGCTCTACGGGCCGACGCACACGTGGCGTCGTTCTACACCTACCGCACAGCACCGAAACAGAAGCACAGAGGGTTTGGAACGGAAGGGGCTGAAGGCTTTTCTCAGTTTGACACAGTAACCAAAAGGAGTGGGCCTGTTCCTTCAGCTGGCTTGGAAACTGCTGCGTTTAATGTGACAGGACAAGAAGCTCTGGGGGATATGAGGGAGAATACTATGCCCGGTGATGGAGTGAAGACACTCGTGCGAGACTGTGTGCATTGGTGTCTGCCTGGTGTGCCCGACACATGGAATGAGTTGCTGTACGCTGAGCTTATCAGATCCGGAAATTTCACTTTAAAGTAAAAGCAGTTGTTCAAATTGCTATATCTTCTCACCTAGGAGTGTATTATTGTTCAAACAGTGCACTACTCAAAGCAAAAACGCAACAGAGTTGGAGAAAATAGAACATTGGACAGCAGAAAAAGACACCTACAAGCCTGCACAAAGCCTGAGAGCTACCACAACAAAGAGAAACCACCCTACCCCACATGTCTGCACCACCTCTGCAACCTACGTCACTCTTGCTTGACCCCCAGGTTCACTGCACCCACTTGATTGCAGCAGTGGTTATCCTCCTCCAAGCGCTACCCCTTGAGTGAGTCCTTGATAATCTGGATGATCTCCCCAATGGCTTCGTCCACTGCACTATCACCAGACACAGCAGCTGACCCACCGGCCGCTGCCGTGGACTCAGGCACTGCTCCTGCCTCACGCTCTGCTGCCGCCTCTGCCTCAGGCTTGGGCACTGCTGCTGCTTCAGGCTCAGGCTCAGGCTCTGCTGACACCTCAGGCTCAGGCTCGGGCTCTGCTGCCGCCTCAGGCTCAGGCTCGGCCTCTGTTGCAACTTCAGGCTCAGGTTCAGGCTCTGCTGCCACCTCAGGCTCAGGCTCGGGCTCTGCTGCTGCCTCAGGCTCGGGCTCGGGCTCTGCTACCGTCTCAGGCTCAGGCTTGGGCTCTGCTGCTGCTTCAGGCTCGGGCTCTGCTGCCACCTCAGGCTCAGGCTCGGGCTCTGCTGCTGCCTCAGGCTCAGGCTCGGGCTCTGCTGCCACTTCAGGCTCGGGCTCGGGCTCTGCTGCCGCCTCAGGCTCAGGCTCAGGCTCTGCTGCCGCCTCAGGCCCAGGCTCGGCCTCAGTTGCAACTTCAGGCTCGGGCACGGGCTCTGCTGCTGCCTCAGGCTCGGGCTCGGTCTCTGCTGCCACCTCAGGCTCAGGCTCGGGCTCTGCGGCCACCTCAGGCTCAGGCTCGGGCTCTGCTGCCACCTCAGGCTCAGGCTCGGCCTCTGTTGCAACTTCAGGCTCAGGTTCGGGCTCTGCTGCTGCCTCAGGCTCGGGCTCGGGCTCTGCTGCCACCTCAGGCTCAGGCTCGGGCTCTGCTGCCGTCTCAGGCTCAGGCTCGGGCTCTGCGGCCACCTCAGGCTCAGGCTCGGGCTCTGCTGCCGCCTCAAGCTCAGGCTCGGGCTCTGCGGCCACCTCAGGCTCAGGCTCGGGCTCTGCTGCTGCTTCAGCCTCGGACTCGGGCTCTGCTGCCGCCTCAGGCTCGGGCTCGGGCTCTGCTGCCGTCTCAGGCTCAGGCTCGGGCTCAGCTGCTGCTTCAGGCTCGGGCTCTGCTGCCACCTCAGGCTCAGGCTCGGGCTCTGCTGCCACCTCAGGCTCAGGCTCGGGCTCTGCTGCCGTCTCAGGCTCAGGCTCGGGCTCTGCGGCCACCTCAGGCTCAGGCTCGGGCTCTGCTGCCGCCTCAAGCTCAGGTTCGGGCTCTGCTGCCGCCTCAGGCTCAGGCTCGGGCTCTGCTGCTGCTTCAGCCTCGGACTCGGGCTCTGCTGCTGCCTCAGGCTCGGGCTCGGGCTCTGCTGCCGCCTCAGGCTCGGGCTCGGGCTCTGCTGCCGTCTCAGGCTCAGGCTCGGGCTCAGCTGCTGCTTCAGGCTCGGGCTCTGCTGCCACTTCAGGCTCAGGCTCGGGCTCTGCTGCCGCCTCAGGCTCAGGCTTTGCTGCCGCCTCAAGCTCAGGCTCGGCCTCTGTTGCAACTTCAGGCTCAGGTTCGGGCTCTGCTGCTGCCTCAGGCTCGGGCTCGGGCTCTGCTGCCACCTCAGGCTCAGGCTCTGTGGCCACCTCAGGCTCAGGCTCGGGCTCTGCTGCCGCCTCAAGCTCAGGCTCGGGCTCTGCTGCCACCTCAGGCTCAGGCTCGGGCTCTGCTGCCGCCTCAGGCTCAGGCTCGGGCTCTGCTGCTGCTTCAGGCTCGGGCTCTGCTTCTGCTTCAGGCTCGGGCTCTGCTGCCACCTCAGGCTCAGGCTCGGGCTCTGCTGCCGTCTCAGGCTCGGGCTCGGGCTCAGCTGCTGCTTCAGGCTCGGGCTCTGCTGACACCTCAGGCTCAGGCTCGGGCTCTGCTGCCACCTGAGGCTCAGGCTCGGGCTCTGCTGCTGCTGGCTCGGGCTCGGGCTCTGCTGCGGTCTCAGGCTCGGGCTCGGGCTCAGCTGCTGCTTCAGGCTCGGGCTCTGCTGCCACCTCAGGCTCGGGCTCGGGCTCTGCTGCCACCTCAGGCTCAGGCTCGGGCTCTGCTGCTGCTTCAGGCTCGGGCTCGGGCTCTGCTGCTGCTTCAGGCTCAGGCTCGGGCTCTGCTGCCGCCTGAGGCTCAGGCTCGGGCTCTGCTGCCGCCTGAGGCTCGGGCTCTGCTGCCGCCTGAGCCTCGGGCTCGGGCTCGGCTGCTGCCTCAGGCTCGGGCTCTGCTGCTGCTTCAGGCTCGGGCTCGGGCTCTGCTGCTACCTCAGGCTCAGGCTCGTGCTCTGCTGCTGCCTCAGGCTCGGGCTTGGGCTCTGCTGCCGCCTCAGGCTCGGGCTCTGCTGCCGCCTCAGGCTCGGGCTCGGGCTCTGCTGCCGCCTCAGGCTCAGGCTCGGGCTCTGCTGCCACCTCAGGCTCAGGCTCGGGCTCTGCTGCTGCTTCAGGCTCGGGCTCGGGCTCTGCTACCGCCTCAGGCTCAGGCTCGGGCTCTGCTGCCACCTCGGGCTCAGCCTCGGGCTCTGCTGCCGCCTCATGCTCGGGCTCGGGCTCTGCTGCTGCCTCGGGCTCGGGCTCGGGCTCTGCTGCCACTTCAGGCTCAGGCTCTGCTGCCACCTCAGGCTCAGGCTCAGGCTCTGCTGCCGCCTCAGGCTCAGGCTCGGGCTCGGGCTCTGGTGCCACCTCAGGCTCAGGCTCGGGCTCTGCTGCTACTTCAGGCTCAGGTTCGGGCTCCGCTGCCACCTCAGGCTCAGGCTCGGGCTCTGCTGCTGCCTCAGGCTCGGGCTCGGGCTCTGCTGTTGCCTCAGGCTCGGGCTCGGGCTCTGCTGCCACTTCAGGCTCGGGCTCGGGCTCTGGTGCCACCTCAGGCTCAGGCTCGGGCTCTGCTGCTGCTTCAGGCTCAGGTTCGGGCTCCGCTGCCACCTCAGGCTCAGGCTCGGGCTCTGCTGCCACTTCAGGCTCAGGCTCGTGCTCTGCTGCCACCTCAGGCTCAGGCTCGGGCTCTGCTGTTGCCTCAGGCTCGGGCTCGGGCTCTGCTGCCACTTCAGGCTCGGGCTCGGGCTCTGCTGCCGTCTCAGGCTCGGGCTCAGCTGCTGCTTCAGGCTCGGGCTCCACTGCCGCCTCAGGCTCGGGCTCTGCTGCCACCTCAGGCTCAGGCTCGGGGTCTGCTGCTGCTTCAGGCTCGGGCTCTGCTGCTGCCTCAGGCTCGGGCTCGGGCTCGGCTGCCACCTCAGGCTCGGCTGCCACCTCAGGCTCAGGCTCGGCCTCTGTTGCAACTTCAGGCTCGGGTTCGGGCTCTGCTGCCTCCTCAGGCTCAGGCTCGGGCTCTGCTGCTGCTTCAGGCTCAGGCTCGGCCTCTGTTGCCGCCTCAGGCTCAGTCTCGGGCTCTGCTGCCACCTCAGGCTCAGGCTCGGGCTCTCCTGCCGCCCCAGGCTCGGTCTCGGGCTCAGCTGCTGCTTCAGGCTCGGGCTCTACTGCCGCCCCAGGCTCGGTCTCGGGCTCAGCTGCTGCTTCAGGCTCGGGCTCTGCTGCTGCCTCAGGCTCGGGCTCTGCTGCCACCTCAGGCTCAGGCTCGTGCTCTGCTGCCACCTCAGGCTCAGGCTCGGGCTCTGCTGCTGCTTCAGGCTCGGGATCGGCTGCCGCCTCAGGCTCGGGCTCGGGCTCTGCTGCCGCCTCAGGCTCGGGTGCAGATTGTGCTTCAGGCTCTGGCTCAGCCACTACTTCAGGTTCGGGTTCGGCCAAAGTATCAGGCTCAGGCGCTGGTGTCTCTTTGGGCTCGGGGTCTGCTGGCGCTTCAGGCTCGATGTCTGCCGCTCCTTCAGGTCCCGTCTCCGCTGCTGCCTCAGGACCTGTCTCAGCTGTTGCCTCAGGCTCGGGCGCTGCTGCAACCTCCGACTCAGGCTCGGGTCCAGCCATTCCCTCAGGTTCGGGCTCAACTGCAACTTCAGGTTCAGGTACGGGCTCAGCCACTGCCTCAGCTTCAGGCTCGGCCACTGCGTCAGGTTCGAACTCAGCTGCAGCTTCAGGCTCAGGTTCGAACCCAGTAGCTTCTTCAGGCTCGGGCTCGGCTGCTGCTTCAGGCTCGGCCTCCGGCTCGGGCTCAACTGCAGCTTCAGGCTCAAGCTCGGCATCAGCCATTGTCTCAGTCTCGGGCTGACCTGCTTCTTCAGGCTCGGGCTCAGCTGCTTCAGGCTTGGGCTCAGCTGCTTCAGGCTCGGGTCCAGCTGCTTCAGGTCGGGGCTCAGCAATTTCGGGCTCAGACTCAATTGCAGCTTCAGGCTCAGGGCCGGGTTCAGCCATTGACTCAGGCTCGAGCTCAGCTGCTTGTTCAGACCCGGGTTCAGCTGCTGCCTCAGGCTCGAGCTTGGCCTCTGCTTCAAGCTCGGGCTCAGCCACCGCTTCAGGCTTAGGTTCCAGCTCCGCTGCTGCTTCAGCCTCGGACTCGGCTGCTGCTGCAGGCTCGGGCTCAGCTGTTGCTTCAGCCTCGAGCTCGGCTGCTGCCTCAGGCTCAGGCTCAGCGGCTTCAGGCTTGGGCTCAACTTCAACTTCAGGCTCAGGCTCAAGCTCAGCCACTTCCTCAGGCTCCGGCTCAGCTGCTCCATCAGCCCCGGACTCAGCTGCTGACTCAGGCTCAGGTTCGGCCTCTGCTTCGGGCTCGGGCTCAGCCATTGCCTCAGGCTCGGCGGGCTCAGCTGCTGCTTCAGGCTCGGGCTCAGCTGCTGCTTCAGCTTCAGGTTCGGCCTCTGCTTCAAGCTCGGGCTCAGCCATCGGCTCAGGCTCGGCGGGCTCAGCTGCTGCTTCAGGCTCGGGCTCAGCTGCTGCAGCTTCAGTTTCGGCCTCTGCTTCAGGTTCGGGCTCAGCAATTGCCTCAGGTTCGGCGGGCTCACCACCTGCTTCAGGCTCGGGCTCGGCTGCTTCTTCAGGCTCGGGCTCGGTTGCCACTTCAGGCTCAGGCTCGGCTGCTGCTTCAGGCTCGGGCTCGGCTGCTGTCGCAGGTTCGGGCTCAGCCCCCGCCTCAGGCTCGGGGTCAGCTGCTGGTTCAGGGTCGAACTCACCGGGAGGCTCAGGCTCGGGCTCAGCTGCTGTCTCAGGCTCAGGTTGGGGATCAGCTACTGCGTCCGGTTCGGGCTCAGCCGTTCCCTCAGGCTCGGGCTCAGCTACTGCCTCATATTCAGCCTCGGGCTGTGTCTCGATGCCCTCGTCAACGTCTCCCGACGGCGTCACGTCAGCGTCCAGCTCAGCATCATCGATCCCGATATCCAAGCCCGAAGCTGACTGGATCGCCGACGCCGCGCTGCCATCAGCAGCGGCCTGTGCTCCGCTTCCCGCGGCGCTGGAGACGGCGTCGATAGTAGCGGCGTCGGCGCCAGCAGCAGCCGATCCAGAAGAAACTGCGTCCACCAATGCGCCCACACCAGCCCCAGTGACCACAGCCGCCTCGCTCACAGGAAGGCTATCCTGCTCGCCCGCCTCGTCTCCCTCGGTGGTTGTCTCAACAGAAGGCGCGCTCGGCCCCTCCGCGAGCTTATCCGACGACTTCTCCGACAGCTGCTCCTCGCGCAACGCGCGGATTTTTTCCAGGACGGCCTGGCGCCCGCGCAGGCGGCGGTCGCTGGCCATCGCGGCGGCCGACGCGAGGAGACCGGACGTGGCGCCGACGAAGATGGACGCGCCGGTGACGAGCGCGCGGCGGGTGATGAACCACGGAACGGATGAGGCCGTTGGAAATGCATGATTCTGCGGGATGGGAGCGCACGGTGGAAATTACGTGAGCCGATTGCGACGGCACGTGGAAATGCATCTGGTTCATTTACACATCATACGCGGTGGTAACATTTGCGACATATGTTAGTCACTATGTGTAGTCATGTCACCCTTTTGAAGCCGCGCAAGAAACATGATAGTAAAAGAACTAACCTCTTTCTTGCTTGGAACAATGTCTTTGGAGTCCTTTGGCGCCTCGGAGGACGCGAAAAGGCGTAGCTTGGTGACGATGGGGCGCTTGGCTTTAATCAGGCTGCGAGGAGGCGTTGGCACAAGCGGGGAGGCTCGCAGGCCCGTCCATTGCGACACCGACGCTTTCTGAGCCGACGCCATCCAGAACGCGAGGGCAGGTAGGCTTGTGGAACGGTACGCGTAGTGCCGAGGTGACAACTGGAGGTCTTGGGCAGAAGTGTGCCGTTTATTTTACCCCAGTCTGTCGTCGCCTTGAAATGCAGGTCGGGAAGACTTGATCACGCAGGAGAGTCCTGCATTGCTTATGAACGCATGCAGTCACGATTAATCAGGCCAGCTACAGGTAACTATGAACAGCTAGAGAGATAGAGGAGGGCGCGAAACATCCAAAGAATAAGCGCTTATTCTTGATGTAGAGGGGTTCGCACACACTCGGTGGGATGGAAATGACAGAGGGGGGAGGTTGGGGAGTGGCGGCGCTGGTCTGATGGTGAAGCGCGGCTTGGGCAGCATTTTCATCCACTGCCAGACCACTTCTGCTTCTTGCGGATCGCGGGAAGGCAATAGCGCCACGACGATGGACGGTTAAGATGTTCTCGCAATATCGTGCGTTTCGATCGATGGTCGACTTGTCGTCCCGAAGCAGCACCTCACACAGTCTGGAGACTTGTGGTTTGGGCCGTGCGAGAATGCATCTGTGGCCTCAACAGTTTGCACGTGGCAGAAGCAGTAGATTGGCTTGGGTGTTTTCGCGGGAACTGGGGCCCGCTATGTGACGTGATTCGTGATCAGCCTTCGCGCAATTGGGTGCTCCAATGTGAGTTCACGACTGACTGTTCGTTATTGTTCAGTCCACAGGCGCCGTCGATCCTTTGATACGTGGCGGATAACGATTTCATCCCAAAGTCTGTCAAAATTTTGTGATGTCAACGGGTAAAGGCTGCGTAGTGTGATGGCATGGCATATACACCCTGTTTCTCACTACACTGAACTGTGCCGAACTGGTGGAAGACCTTGTTATCTTCGATTTGTCTGATTGAACCATACGGAGACTTAATCTAACCACCGTTAACCGTGCTTTTTCCATCTTGACTTCACTATAACCGAGTTCACAATGGCGAGAAAGAGGGTGTACGATCATGCAAGTTTATCACGGCCATATTTCGGAATAGTCCCCCAGATTCTCATATGTACATGTTGTCAAAGTTGAACAACTTTTTCCTCGCTAGTGCATTCGATTTGTATCAGCACATCGCGTTTCCCAGCGCATAAAGCCAAAACCAAACCCAAGAATGCACAAACTTGGTCAAGCATGGGCTTCCGTGTTTTTGTTCTTGGTCTGCTCTTGTTCAGCATCTCCCGAAGCCTGAAGCCCGTAGTAGCAAGGCCTGCCGGATGGATTTATGAATTCCAAAGAAGCGTTGAGGCAAGAAAAACTCTAAATTAACATATGTCTGTCCTCTCACATTTAAAATTGATTCTAACACCTGAGTTGCAGATTGACCCCAGAGCAGCTGATGCGAAAACATATTACTCACAGAAACGGCAAGGGATGCCATGCATTCCATATGCTTACGGAGAAGAGGTCGGAGTTTATGAGAGTACCTGAGCATTCTGTAAACAAAGGATGCCCTTATAACGTCCATGTTTTGCAGGACCCGATATATTTTGAAGACATGAACTGTGAGCCGGCCGATGATGCTTCAATATTTAAAACTGGAACGGGTCCGACACCCTCATTCGATGAAGAAAACGGCATGAATCAGTTGGCATCTCAACGACGACGACTTCTCGGGTCAAATTCACGCCGTTAAATGCCAAGGGTCTGTCTGCGTGCTGACCGGGAGGCTATCGCAGATGGATCAGATTCATGCAATGTGTGATGAACGACAAATAACTGTGCTGCGAGGATAGAAGCTAATGACAACGCAGATGGATCGAATGACGAATTTAACTGCTACGTAGATAAAAGACAAACGAGGTAAAGAGTTCTAAACTGGAGATCTTTACGCAATTTGAGGCTGAACGACGAAATAAATTCTAGGGCGGTTCCATTGTTGTCGATTGTACGTTCGATTCGAGCCCTGGTTCGAGCAACATTAGGCAACTAATGAACCCAACATGATGAAAGTAATTTTTCTGCGAACATGCTCAGTCTGTCCGTGTCAATCATCAACACACCCTTTGCAAAAGCATAGGCATGTACAGTTTCAAAAGATGGCAATATCACGTTCCTTCCAGGACTGCATGTGGTTAACTGTTGGCAACTAACAAGCCAGAGCACACCACAACATTCCCTAACCAGGCCTGTCATCCTGCAGCACTTCCAGGTCACAAACAATAATCTGACCACTACCCATCACCTTTGCTTCCTGCGGAAAGCTACAGTGGCAACACGAGAGCCCTCCACTCCTCCGAATCTAAACTTGGGATATGTTTTCACATGGTCTACCACCTCAAAGGCCCCTCTCCATTGCTGCTCCCCGGTGTTGATACCCCCACTTTCATCGTTCCCTATAACTGATAGAGGGCAGAAACGCAAGTTCATGGAAAAAAAAGGGAAGTCAAGACACCAGGAAAGAGGGGTGTGGATGTTGATACAAAGTAGGAAGTGAAAGTACACGAAGGAAATGAAGACGAATATGCAAAGCACTTCAACGATTAGACGTGCGAAGAGATTACCTGGAGGGGCGAACTCTGCCGTGAGCTCAGCCACGGTGCTGTTGCAGGACGTGATGACCTGGAATTCAGAGAAAGGTGAAAGAACAAGAAAAAAGGAGGGGTGGGGGGAGGGGACGAAGAGGGGAGGGGAAGAGTGGGGCAGAAGATTGGGCAAGTGGTTGGGTTTGACAGCGCCACGGACAGAGGAAGAGACGCATACTGGAGAACATAAGAGGAGAACTGGAAGAAGGTAGGCAAAGGCAGCAGCGGGTTGCATGATATGAGGCAAAAGGGCATCTGTAAGAGGGATAGAGTGATGCATTTCTATGAAGGACTGTTTCATGTGCAATGGAAAAAGAGCACATGAACGAAGATGCACTGGATACATCTATAGATTGCACGAACCAGAAGGCCGTTGGGGAGAAGCAGCCTTGCCACTGTGTTCTTATAGCTGATCCTGCGGTCGGGACACAGGAGGGAAGTACAAGAAGAGGGAAAAAACATGGGAGGGAATCAGAAGGGTGAGAGGCAGAGAAAATCAGGCATGATCCCAACCTGGTGGGAGCAGTAGACGAATGAAGGATGGAGTATACCTGTGCAACGAGACGAGTTACTCGCTCGGTATCGCCCGAGTTACTCGTTTGGGTGCGAGTAACGAGTTTCGGTTTTTGAAAAATCTAATCGTACGAGTAGAGGCAAGTAGAACTCGCCGAGTTTTTTGCTCGACGAGTACTCGGGCACGATTCCGCCCGCCGATCCGCGCAGATCGGCGATTTTGCCCGTCGATCCGCGCGGATCGGCAATTTCGCCCGCCGATACGCAGATCGGCGACCGCAGATCCGCGCAGATTGGCGATTTCACTGCGCAGATCGGAGATGTCCGCCACATGTCGTGTCAATCGCTAAGCTCAGATAAGATCTTGCTTTGGTCGAACCCAACTACTGTAATTCGGCGGGCGAAATATTGCTTCCCCGACTACTGTAATTCGCCGACAATTTTCCGCCTTGAGTTCCCAACCAAGTCGCCACCGCTTACCTCTGTTCACCGCACTGAATCTACAAAAATCCCAACCACCCGTTCCAATTTCAGATCTCGTCACAACACAACCCCCTCCCTTCCCCGCTAGTCTACTCCAATATTCCTTCATTAGCTAGCTGGACACGTCCGTGGTAATTGTGAGGGCCCCTGTTTTTGCAGTTACAGGGCAGCGGGGCAACATTACTCGAACTCGGACGAGCTTTTCTAAATGCTCGCCCGAGTTCCTTTAATAAATCGAGTAACGAGTTTCTGTTTGGGGGAAAAATGCTCGGTCAAGTATTACTCGACACGGGCTCGTACTCGGCCAAGCAAGGCTAGGGACGAGTCGAGCATTACTCGGCTCGCCCCTTTGCACAGGTATAGGATGGAGAATGCAAAAGCTCGCAATCAACAGCGCGATACATGGGGGAAACACGACATGAGGCAAGAAATCCGAACATAAAGGAGTGAGTTGAGGTGAGGGAAGTCTCACTTGCGAGTGGAGCCGTGAGGGTGCAGTCGGACGGCATCAAAGGTGCCCTTGTCCACCACCATGTGGCACGACGCCGAGGGCAGGCCTGAGTCCAGCACATCGTCAGCCTGTGCTCCCAGGGAGCATGAGGGAGGAGAACATGAGGGGAAAAGGAATGCCAAGTGATGAGAAGCATCGCACGAGGAAGAAAATCAAGGGATCGCCTAGGCTGAGCTTAGACTAGTAGGTAGTGAGTAAGCAAGGAGAGTGTCATTCCAAGAAGCAGCAGCATGGAACGTCTGACGTGGCTGGACACAGGCCTAAATCCAGCTCAGCAAGACTGGGCCGGGACCGGACTTGGCCGGATTACGCCTGGCTCGACGGGCGGGCCGGGCCAGGACTGGCTCGTGTCAGGCCTAGTTTCAAAGAAGTCTGGCACGACCCGCCCTTTGTGTTAAGAAGGGCTGCCTAGCACGTCATGGCAGGACCCGGCATGTGATGGCATGGCATGGAAGGGAGCATGACCTGGAATTGCAGGTGCATGAGCCCGGCTTGCTCCGCCACCTGCTGTGCGAGCTGCACCGCTGCCTCACTGTAGTCCGTGCCCAGGAGATTGTGGAAGCTGGCAGACACACGAGGGACGGACGGGAGGACAAAGGGGAGTGGGAGAGAGGGGGCGAGTGAGGGGGGAGGAGAGGGGAAGAGAGGGTACACGGGAGAGGTGAGGAGATGCGGAAGGAAGGGAAAGGAGGGGGGAATGGAAGAGGGAGGAGGGCGACATGTGCATTAATATAAAAGGGGGGCAGTGGCGGTGCCTGTGCTGTGTGGGCAGCAATCCATACTGTAGAAGCAGAAATAGCGACAAGGAGCATGGGCGAATTTGTGAAACAGGAGCGAGCCATAACGACAGCAAAACAAGGTAAGAAGGGGCGTGGCGTCTATGGATGGAGATGGAGGTGTGGGGGTTGGGGAAGGGGGGGGGGTGGGGAAGGGGGGGTTGGGGAAGGAAGAGGGGCTGAGGGAGGGGAACAGACGAAGTCTGGTAGATCAAGTAAGAAAGATGCATTACAATCAAAGGCCAGCATTTTTTCCACCCATCCGACCCCATGCACCCCACACCACAGTCACTGCCCCCCTTCACTTGCACCCACAGCAGCGCAGCAGCGGCAGCAGCTCACCCGTATCGGGCCAGTGCGTGCAGCAGCAGCCCGTTACCCGTGCCCACATCCACCACCCGCCACCCCGCCGCCGCCCCTGCCAGCCCTTCTGCTGCTGCTGACCCTGACGCCGCCCCCTCTGACGTCCCTGGCGCCCCTGCTACCGACTCCCCCTTGTCCTCTTCCCCCTCCCCCTCGCCCCCTTGCTCCACGCCAGCCCCATCGCCCCCAGCAGCAGCGGTGGCTGCGAGCGCGGCAGCAGAGGCCGCGGCGATCCGCGCTGTCCACTGCGCACACGTTTCCATCACGTCTCCGCCGAACCTGGCAAGGGGGGAGGGGGATTTAGGTCGGGGGTTTATGGGGGGAGAGTATGGGGAAAGGGGCGGGGAGGGAGAGGGGAGGAGAGTTTTGGGGGGGGGGGGGAGGGTAGGGGAGAGAGGGGAGAGGGAAAGGTGTAAAGAGTGAGGGGGGTGCAAGGAGCAGGACGGGATAAAGAGAGGGGAGAAACGTGGGAGTAAGGGCGGAAAAGAGTGAAGGAGAGAAGCCACAGTATGCGGGTGAAAGGGTAGGGGAAGTGAAAAGCGCGGAATAAGAGAGGCGCGTGATGAGGAGGAGAAGCGAAGGGAGCGAGGTGGAGCGAAGAGGCAGCCTCGCGAGTAGCCAGGGTGTGGGCGCTCTGTGCGTCAAGATTGCCATGCAGGTCAGACAGCCCACGAGTGCCAGGTTGAGCGGGTGTGAGGGCACGACAGTGCGAGGGTGCGAGGGTGCGCCACAGTCTACATTGAATCGGACTAGGGGCAACGCGGGTTGCGCGGTTTGGGCAGCGCTGCACACACCGCTGTGCGGCCTTTCAAAGGAAATGTGGTTGCTTACTTGGCCGCGATCAAAGCGAGGGAGTTGGTACCATTCAGGAGACACCCAGTAGGAGAGTGGGCATGAGAACATGAGGGAAGAACCTCGCTCACCATATCTCGCCGGGATCACCGCATTCCTTGAACTGTTGTAGCTCGTCCGCGTACGTGCTGTCCCAGTGCGACCTCAACCCAAGCACAGACCCCTCCTCTTCCTCCTCCTCTTCCTCCTCCTCTTCTTCCTCTTCTTCGTCTTCTCCCCCCTCCTCATCCCCATCGCCCTCTTTTTTCTCGTCCCCATCCCCATCCCCTTCTCCATTCTCGCCCGCTCTCTGCCCCTCCTCGCCTCCCCCCGCGTTCTCCCCGGCCTCGCCGATTCCGCCGTCCTCCTGACTTTCACACCCCCCTCCTCTCCCCCGCAATCCTCCCCCAGTCCCCTCCGCCGCTCCACTCCCCGGCGCGTCCGCTGCCCCGCTCGGCGCCCCTGCGTCGTACCCTAACCCATCGCCCCCTGCTTCATTCCGCATGCCCTCCGCCCCATCCCCATCAACATTCCCATCCCGATCCCGATCCCCATTCTCATCCTCATCATCGTCATCGTCATCCCCGTCATCATCCCCATCGCCCCCAGCGGAACAATCGAGATCCGATATTCGGTCATCCAGGCTCCCCTCGCTAGGCGCGCTGCCCGCTAGCAGCCCGCTCAGCCCCCCCAGCTCCCCCTGCAAGTTGCTCTGGTGGGTATACGCGCTCTGAACCCCGTGCTGGTGACATATTTGAAAAGACAGAGCCTGCTGTCGCTGCTGCTGCTGCTGTGACTGCGGTTGCGGTTGTGATTGTTGTTGCTGCGGTTGCTGCTGCTGCTGCTGCTGCTGTTGTTGTTGTTGTTGCTGTTGCAGCTGCTGTTGCTGCTGCTGCTGTTGAAGCGCAAGCATCGCGTCTTGCTGCCACCGCTGCTGCCGCTGCTGCGCGGCCAGCCACTGCGGAACGCGGGCGCGGAGAAGCGGCGACTGCTGGTAAGCCACGCGCTGCTGCTGCTGCTGCTGCTGCTGCTGCTGCGACCTTGCGTCCGCGTGATGGTAATGGTCGGAGACATGGACATGGCTTGCATGCCCGTCCGCGCCTCCCTCGTGCTCTCGCAGCCCGTTCAGCTCCTGATGCTCCCTCTCCTCCGGTGCACTGCGGGCGCGTGGCAGGATAAAAGCAGGTATGGGGGTATGGAGGCATATTCAGGAATGTTAATGTCGTCACGCATGAATTACGTGTCATGTGGCTAAGGAAATCGCTCGCACCTCGCGCATTCATCGTCGACCGAGTGTTCGCACTGCATAATCCATTTCGCGACGGCCGGCAATTATCGAGCATAAGAAAAAAGCAAAATCGTAAAGAGTCGACCGATCCAAGCCTGCTCAGTTGCCGGACTAAGGATGCGGATCAGCAGCAATGATCGATTCCTTCTTATTGGCGGCATGACCGCAACAGCATCGCGCAAGCACTCGTGTCTTACCTCCCGCTGGCCTGCGAGTCCTCCGCAATCGTCGTCCCGCACATCATCTCCGCCGTGCGCGCCTCATCGCCGTCCAGCGTGCTGCCATACTCGCTCTTAACGGACCACGAGTCGCCCGCGATCGACCTTTCATCGTCCGAATGGCCTCCCCCGCTGTGCTCCTCCTCCGCTCCCCGCGCCGCGATCGGCCACTCCGCGTCGCGATCGTCCACGTGTTTTGGTAGCTTGAAACCCGCCAGGTGAAACAGGAAGAAAAGTACCAATGACGAATACATGACCCCGGAATCTCCGAGCCAACTGCACGAGGCAACGAGACGGAATAAAATACCTGAACAATGCACTCTGTTTGCGACAGCAGGAACAACTCCTGCAAAATCTTTCCCGATGTGAATCACATTACTCGCACCGCAAAAAATGCAAGACTCTGCAGAGTCGGCTTCTCTGCAGCGACATCAAGGAGCGTCATGAGCTGCAGCCATGCAACTCATGCAAGGGAAGAGATAAGTGAGCAGTGGCTGCAATGGTATGGGGAAGCGGAAGGAAACTAGGGTTTGCTTTCATGAAAGATACGAGGCGATGGAGTGTCTTTAGGGGGGAATACCGAGCCAGAGAGAGGTAAGGCACCCCGCTGATTGGGCAATACATCTGGAAAGCTTCAGCGTCGCTAGTCTGAGGGCTGGCTGGGAAGTCCGGTTTGCTTTGAACGATGATCCCGAACCGAGCAGACCTGCAGCCCGAACCTGTCCCTAGGTACCAGCAATTGTCGTTTCTCTGCAATGCTTTGGTTTCTGTTACGGGTGCAATGAATCTAAGGTCGTGTCCGTAGGGATGACATGTCAAAGTGGGCAGTGTCAACTTGGCATTTTGACACTCTGCCAACATTGTTGGCAGAGTGTCAAGAAATTGCAGATTGCCAGCCAATAAAAATCGTCGAACACTTTTGAAATTGGCACAGAGAAACCTACAAACGAGAGAAAATTGTCGCAGGTACCTATCTCACGACCTGATGCTGCCCAATCAGCACACAATATGTCTTTTGAATTGTTCGTTGCCTAGCAGATCTAGCCATGACAAATTCTCAAACCAATGAAATTGCGTCGCTGATGTTCGTACTGCGCTTTGACTTGACACTTCCACTACAGTGCTTGACACTCTAATTTGAATGCGCTTCGGGTTGACGCGCTCTCACTTGACATGTCAACCCTACGGACACGAACTAAGTAGCGAGAATTGCACTAAGGTGTCAAACGAGTACAAAATGTGAGAGAAGGCATGAGCGAACATTTATACGCGAAATGTGCAAACGGTAACGCGGTGCGTGCGAGCTAGCTAGTGCAATGCTGGAAGCGAGGCTCAGGCGAGTCCCGAAACGTAGGCCGACACGGCCAGGCCAGCAGTGTGAGGTTTGGTGAAACAGTGCGCGCGAAGTCGGCGAAGCCCCGTTAGTAGTAACGGGCGAACAACGGCTGCTTCTGTACGCGATGTTGCAGGGCGCGTTAAGGAATATCGAGAAAATTCCTTACAGTTCCACACAGTTGTCACGAAGAGTTTTGCTTGCTAAGAATATTTGTCATAATTCTCATAAAATTTCCCATGTATTCAGTTAGCATGAAAAGGTGGGATGCATCAGAATACGGTAGTTGACACATCGTGAAGGAGCGCCTATGTGACTGAATGAGTGAAGGAAATTCTATGCTGGGTGGGATGTAACCTGAGGATGGGATAAAACTGCTAGAGTTGAATACGTTCTGGTATTTAGAAATAGAGCAATGCTGGAAGGAAAATGCCACTACACACATGTTCACAAGCAGCACATGAGCAGGAAACCAGCTGGAAAACACAATTTTCCTGCATGGCAGCAGAGGGCAATTCCCTCAACTACTACTCCAACCCAAGAAAATGCACAAAGTTGACAACCTCCCAAGTTCCCAACAGGGAACACAGCTAGTCTGCTCCAGCGGAGCACTTGGTTGCCTAATGTAGAGCCTTGGTTGCCTAATGTAGAGCTTAGACAGAAGAACCTCCCGAAGGAGAGACAGGGCCAACAAGCAGTGGTTCTTCTGTCTCGTCCACCATTTGAACAGCTGAGAGAAATAAAAAGGTGGACAGCAATGATAAGGGAGACAACAGGGTGGGCAAAGGGACAAGTACAGCACCAGAGTCGCGACACGAACGGTGCAGTCACAGTAGGCAAACAAACTGACAGTGAAATAGACATGCGCGACTCCCCCGGTACCAGGCCATGTGAGGTTACTCACCCCATGAAGAAAGGAGGGCGATGACAAGCATGCTGACGCCGGTGATGAAGAGGTCCACGCCCACGAGCAGCCCTGCCAGGCGCACAAAGTCCTTGTTTGGCTCCTCTGGCTGCGGTGGCTGTGCGAACACCACAAAGCCGAGAGCAATGGCGATCATGCCGGAGAGCAGCACCATGGGCCACGAGGAGATGCTGCGCAGCGACACACCCAGTGCGCTCTTGAACACGCCCTGGGGGAAAGGTGGGTTGAGGGTAGAGAGGAAAGCGAAGAGGGGCCTGAAACTGGGTTTCCTGGGGCCAAGGCCTTAGAACATCTGTTCTGTTAACATGAACTGGACCAAGGAACAGAAAGGAGGAGAGGAGGGGCCCTGCACTGATACGTTGGCACAAGCAGGTTACCTGAGCTAAGAACCAGCCGGCGAGGATAAACTGGAGAGCGTTTGGGCCTTGTACAAGGCCCGTGCCGGTGACGAGGGAGAATCCAATGGCGAAGTGAATGAGGCCGAGGAAGAGCAGTGCGACGGTGCCAGGTGCACCACAGAGGAAGAGGAAGTGCAGGAAAGTCACCACTCCGCCCACCAGCAGCACCCACCCTGCACGCACAGGGGAGAAAAGGGAGCATGGAGAGGCAGGGGAAGATAAGGGCTTGGTGGGTGGGGAGAGTGAGAAATGTTGGACAGCACAAACCGGCCATGAAAAAGAGACTGGATTGGAAAGGCAAAAGCATGTGACAAAAGGTAAAGGAGGGACGCCAAGTATGGACACGGAAGTGAGAGCCAATACAGGAAGGTGGCACGTCGAGGAAGACATGATGGGTGCAGTACCAAGAGTCTTGATGGCGACACCCAAGGCGAGTGGGAAAATGAGTGGCAAGAGGATGGCCACAAGCCCTGCTGCAACGAACACTGCAAGAAAAAAGGAAAGGGGTTAGGAAAGGAGGGAGGTTCACAGGAAGGGAAAGGGCACAGACTGGACAGGCAATCTAAAAAGCACTTGCATGCAAGCAGCCATGACAGCTCTGCAGGGAGGCAGCCAAAGCAACACCCCCAGTGCTCAGTTCCCCATGCTCACCACTTCTCCCGGTCCATCAGCCACAAGAAATAAAGGCGTGCGCATTACAAATTCCCCAGCATACGCGTTCTAACTTTCTCATCTGACACGACTATTACAAGCAGCCATAGCTTCAATCACTTGTTCACAGAAACGAAAAAAAACGAAACAAAGGGGCGCAGCCACTGTGCGCCATGCATGTATGAATGAGCACAGCACTCACGCGCGCCGTAGAGCGAGTTGTACACGGAGAGGCGCTCGAGGTGCTCCATGGAGATCTGCCCCGCCAGCGGCCGCACGGGGATCACGAAGTGGTACACGCCGTCCGCGCCGCTTCGCATCGCCGGTGCCATGCCGCGCTCGCTGATTCCCGAAGCCGTCGCCATGTCTTTTCTTGATCAGCTGCCAACTCAGGATATTCGATCAGAGGGTTCCTAGATTTGGATGACCGGTCAATAGCCCCACTGCACGTCTACGCTCAAAAGCAACCGCAGGGGATAGGGGACGGAAAGCCGAAGAATCTAATACGAGCGTGCCCAGACCTGAAGGTCGTCGAAACAGGAGGGAGGGAAAATCGCGGGGAGGAGCAAGATGCGCGCGACCAGCAGTCGGATTACTTGACGCCCCAGGCGCGGTAAGACACGCATCTGCGAGCTGGCTGATGAGGTGGATGGGCGAGTCGTCTACGGGCTGGCTGAGGCGGGGAGAGAGCAGAATCGCGCATCTGCCTCCTCACAGGAACGCCCCTCAGCGGGAGAAGCGGCAGAGGGAACGAGCCTGGCATGATCATGGTTGATGTTTGGCGGCACGGGGTGGGTGTGACCACGTGGAACGTCATTCCACGTCGCTACTAGGCTGGCACATCGCCCTGGACCAGCATGCAGCATCGCGCCGCTGCCGCTCGCCATCTCTTCCAGCGTGTCTCCTAGAGTTGCAATGCAGTCTGGTTCTAGTAAAGTCGCATGACATGCGTGTGCTGTGCGACCAACTCGAGGAAACAAAGGGAAACGGGTGCTTTTTCTCCCGTGTCAATCAGACAGCGTTTCACTAAGAACAATCCATTCTCTTCTCATTTACTCCCGTTCATGCAGCAAACGGTGGTTCCACGTGGCAGCTGGTGACAGGATGATTGATTTGAGTTTCAAAAGCATAGGTTCCACGTTTTGTATCACAAGCGTTGGATTGCTATTGAAGGGCTTCTATGGTACAATCATGTTGATACTGGAGGACACAGCTGCGGATATCGAGTTTACAATGACAGATCCACCACCGAACCGACAAGCCAGCGCAGCGCAACACAATATATACAATGAATGTACACACGATTGTACGGATGGTTTTAGCTCCTAATAAGTTATCTGAAGGAGGGTCACCCCTTTTAACTAGTACCAGGGATCCATAAACGTCAGCTGCGTGACATTTCTCGCCACTCCGAACAACTCAGAACGGAATGGCGCTGCTGACCGCAGGGTAGACTGTGTACACGGGCAGAGCCATTATTTGACGTCCAGCCTTCTCGTCGCATAGCCACGCGATCGCTCCAACGGGCCACGCGACCACAGCGGCGACTGCCATGGCGACAAGCCCGAGAGTGGGCCCAACGACCTTCACGCCGCAGGGGTTGTTGGGACTGCCGACCTCGATGAAGAAGAGACACATGGCGCTCGCTTGATTGCGGAGAAGAACCTTTGAATGAAGAGGTTGGAGCACAGGACTCTGAAAGATTGTGAACGCTAGAAGGCGAAGAGCGTTATTAATTTCTGTTGGTTGAAAGCTTGATAAGACAATGACTCCAGTTCGTCATTTATATACCTGTGCAATAAAAAGCGGATGCGCCGTTCTGGAATTCACTGAACTTTCAGTTTCCCCTTCGAAGGATCTGGATGGCACCAGGAGGAGGCGAAGCGTGGCCTTGAAGAGCACGCGAGCAGCTGAAGCACTCGCTGGGAAGGTCTCGAAAAGTCTGGAATAGTCTGGAAGCAACGATATTTGAGATTGCCTCCAAAAACTTTTCGTGCGCTGGTAGCCGACGCGAGATTATAGGGACCCATATTTATTACTATGTCCACTTCTATAATCATTTGATATTCAGATATACTGAGCTGACACCAATGAGTGCAGAAAACATAATAATAGAGCATGCACACCTTTTGTTGAAATTTATGATTTATTATGTTGAATGTACACAGTTGATATATTTGATGGTAATGTTGTGAATAATGAGACATGCGTGATATATTGTAACAATACTCTGAGATACACCGTACTTTTCTCGTGATTGCATATAAATTCCGTCTTCGCTAATGAAGTGTTCGCCATCCCCGAGTTGCCACCACGTGGCATGACTACAAGCTCACACCCCTATCATGCGGACAATGAATTTCCTCTCCATCAGTCGGACCGCACAGCCTCGATTTCTCGCAAGTCGCATGGACACCATTTCCCGTTTGCTACGACTTACCACTTGTCCGACCTCTCAGCGTGCTCCGTTGCAAGTCTGCGGCTATCATCATCCCTCGTATGCTTCAGCCACTACATTTCTTTTTGGTCGTGTGCCTCTCCTTTCTGGATTCGTAGAATTATCGCCTAATCGTGCCTCTGCTCTCAGAAGGTCCCTGCGTCCGCCAGTGCAAACACACCTCACAAATCCCACTGCCGCCATCATGTCGACTATGAAGATGAAGACGACCCACAAGCAGAGAGACACGGCGGAGAAGTTCCGAAAGGCGCAGGAGGCGTACGGCGTCGCTGATCAGGAGGAGAGCTTCTACATCACGTCCACGAGCCTGGGCAAGGACGGGCATTTCCCAAGGCAGTGCACGGGCGACGGGTCCGTGCAGCACCACGATCTGTCGCCCGCCCTTGAGTGGCACGACGTGCCCGAGGGCACGGAGACGCTCGCCATTGTGATGGAGGACATCGACGCGCCGGACCCGGAGGCGCCCATCGTTCCCTTCACGCACTGGTCAGTGGTTTGCAGAACGGATCACGACTCTGAACTCTTGACATCGTTCTGTAGCGAATAAGCTTCTGGAGTGCCTCAATTTCGTAGAGTTATTGATCTCCTGTTTTATTGACGTGATCTGTGCGTTTTTCCTGTACTCATTTGGTGGGTGGTGCACAGGGTGGTGGCGAACATTCCTCCCAGCCTCAAAGGCAAGTTGTACACTTCCCATCCCACCCTTCACCTCCCGCACCCAGCTTTGTTTCTTTTGCTTCAGTGCCACGACTCCCCACGCTCTGAATTCCTAGATTTCAACAAAAAATTCCTTCTCTAGTTCTTCCTTGCTGATTTCCGTCCTGGCTTCCCAACCTGTCAGCAGCCTTTCATCCATGATGCTCATCCCGATGGCCTTGCAGGGCTGCCGGCGGGGTTTTCAACCAAGGACCATGCCAATGACCCAAAATACGAGGGCGTACAGGAAGGCGTGAACGACTTCAAGCTGCCGCACTACCGCGGGCCCAACCCGCCCACTGGCACGCACCGCTACGACATCGCTGTGTACGCGCTGGACTGCCGTATCCACATGGGCAAGGTGGGTGATTGGCTGTGAATGCCACAGGCAACCTGCCACACCTAGGGAATGTGTGTTTGCCCCTCCAATCTGGCTGGCAGTTTTTAGGGTACAATTGCAAATTTCGTTAGATGTGTGCAACTGGAAGCTCGTCACCTGGCAACTCGCCTTTACCTCTTGCATGGCGCGCTTGATGGCAGATCACCAAGGAGAAGCTGCAGGAGGCAATGGAGGGGCACGTGCTGGGGGAGGCCCACCTGGTGGGGACATACAGCAAGGAGAAGTTCCCATCAGGCTATGACCAGAGTGTGATTGCTCCTCAGGTGAAGGAGCAGCCGTTTGGTCACTCCCAGCATGCCCTGGGAAGATAGGCATGCTGTATCAGACAGACTAGGGAGAGGCAGGGAACTGTGCTTCTCATTAGAGCTGTTAGCTCTTGTTGATGAGAGCCCTCATGTACGGTAAGAAGTTTTAGGGACGGGGTTGAAATGGAGCTGTAGACGTACATTCATTTCGCTGCTATCAATGTATTTTCTTCTGCAATACCAACTTCAGTTTCCATTACCGTAGTAGCAGTGACTGCCATGGTAGTCTATCACCACAATGTTAGTCCTGCTAGGGAACTGAATCTTAATCTCTGGATCCACTCTTTTTTGTCTCCAAAATTAGAACATTACTAGTTTCTTTCATATAGAAAACCATCTATGGGGTGTTGAAATCGTCTGCCGGCGTTTCAAGGCCACGAGGTGAACTCGAAGACCTTGCCGACAATCTCAAGGCCAGTGGGGATCTGCCACGCGAAGAGCGCGAGGTTGAGCATGTTGAGCGCCACGTGCGCCTTGCGCGCCACTGGGTTGCCCTTCTGCATCGCCGGCACCAGCGACGCAGCCAGTGCCCACAGCACCGTGATGGCTGGCGGAGAGTGAGGCGGAAAAAAGGGGACGAGATGGAGAAGTTAAAACAGGGCGATGGGGCAACTGAAGGGTTAGGGAATTGTGCTACTGTGAGCTGGGAAGAGGGAGGGGTTGAGAAGCAGCTGGAGAACGTTCTGCGACCATGAAGGACGAGAATGTCTGCGAGACATGAGGGCAGGATGCGAGAAGAAAGCATGGCGCAAGAGGTGGCGGGGCAAGGGGCAAGCAGCGTGGCTTACTGGCGCCGGCCCAGAGGTGGGGGCCGGGGAAGAGCTTGCCGGTGCGGAACCAGGTGTTGACGCAGCCCTCCACGGCGATGAGCACGCCGAAGCCCAGCAGCAACGACCCCACGTTGAAGTGCTTCTCGCGGTAGTTGCCCTTCACCAGCTCCGCGCGTTGCTGCCACGCCATGGAACCAGCGGGGATGGGGAACGGGGGGGAAGAAATATAAGGAGCGAGGTGAGGAGGAGGCAAAGCGACGGGATAGGTGGTTGTGGGTTGAGCCTCGATGGACAAATGCGTGAATGCTCAAGCTGTGCCAATGCTAAGGCATGCGGCTTGTGCGAGTGGCAGATGCGAGTAAGCGAGTCTTGCAATGTCAGGAATGCGTGTAGTCCCTGAAGTGCGCGCGCACGAAAGCAATGACGAGCTTGAGAGCACGTCGATCGGTGCACTCGTTACAAAATGCGTGCAAACGCAAGGTGCCAGCTTTCGCGGTAACCAAGCCACCCCGTGACTGGTGCATCAACGACCGACGCGGGGGCCAAACCAGCGACGCCACGTGACGTGACGCGACACGGGCGCGAGAGTTCACTCACCGCGGTGAGCGTGGCGATCTCGCCGGACACCGGCGACGCCGCTGCAGCGTCCTCGCCAGCGGGGAGCTGCTTCTTGAGGTCCTGGATCTTCTCGCCGACGACGCGGACCTGCTTCCACTGGCGGCCCAGGTAGAAGGCGTACAGCGTCGTGAAGAACAGCCCGCCCATCACGAACGGGTGCACCAGCGCCGCCGTCCGGCCCTCCAGCAGGCCGAACTCGCCGCCGGCGGCCATCGCGTCCTGCTCTCGCGGGTGGGGGAGGAGGCAATGTGCGCGGTATGGAGTCGGTTTTATAAAGGAGGGATCTCGTACGGAATCGGAAAGAAAGAACAGGTGAGAACCTTCCGAAAAGCGGGATAGGAGAGCGAGGGCCGTGAGGAGGGCGCGGCGAGGAGAAATAGAACGGCGGTGGAGCTAGTGACTCGCCCCGAAGGCTGTGGGTCGGATAGAGGTACATCGAGAAGCACAAGTGCGTGCGGAGTGCCGCAAGCTCAGTCTGTCTCACAGTCGACGAGCCCTGACCATAACATTGAGGCATTACCTTCACGTGGTGCTCCACACGGACCCACCCACTACTGTACACCCATTCATTTTTATTCTCTTCATTCTACTTAAAATGAACTCGGATGTAAAACAAACGAACAAACCAGCTGACTGTTACGCTGAAAAAGTAACGCGAGCAAGTTCGACAAGGCAGCCTTTGCTATTCACCTGCACGTTGAGCAGGAGCGGCGTCATGGCAGCAGCCGACATGAGCGTCGCCTTTTCCAAGAAGCCTGACGCCAGGAACGCCTCCTGCTCGCCCGCATTCTCCACCCTCTCAGCCACCTCCGCCTCCGGCTTGGTGCTGCTGCACGTCACTCTAAGAGCGGCGCCACGCCTTTGTACAGTGCTCCTTGTAGAGCGGAAGACGGGCAGAGCGGCCACATGAGCGGCCTTGCAAGGGACCGCCTTCTTCCCAGCGGAAGCTGTAGCGAAGGACGCGACCGTGGGAAGGGTGACTGCGACCGCGGCCATGGCTGCTGAAGGTGGTTGGAAGACAGAGCTGAGGGTGGGGGGAATGCGCAGGTTGGTTGATGGGTGGGGGTGGAGTGGGGTGATGGGAATGGTATTCGTGTTTTTTGCTCTGAGATGGCGCAGCAGCTTTGTAGTGCAAATGGAAGGAGAGTCTGCAAGTTTCAAGGGAGTGTTCAAATTCCCGAATTACAGGTTTGCGGACATGACTGTGTCGTACTTCTTCGGGTCAGATGTCGGTTCATCGTACTTTCAGATGTCTCAGATCCTGCTGACCAGTGATTGCTCATCGTACACCAGACACGCCTGGGGTGCATTCTTGTTCGGGTTGGGTTCGATTCTTGATGGTCAGAAATTTGGGGACAAGCTGGAGTTTCCCGCGCCACGAGATGCCACCTTCGAGGAGGTTCATTTCCGTTGGTGCAGTGACGTGGGCCTGGCGGGAAAATCCGAGGGGGTGGGGGGGGGGGGGGGGAGGAAATATGGACCCTCTTCTGCTAACGCAAATACGGGCCGGACCAGTTTCCAGGGAAAGTGACATTGAGGTCGTAAATCCACGTAGCAAAAGTTAAGTGGCCAAATTTGGATACCGACGTATCTGGAGTGTGTAGCCCAGACTGGCGAACACGCATTTGACACGTCTTAATGCTACTTTTGAGATCGGAATGTCCTTGTGCTGCTCTAGCAGCCACGTGGATATCTGAGCATCCACGCTTTTCTCCTTTAAGGCTCCTCTTTTGAGGCCACCACATCCTTTATATACACTAGTCCCCGCCTTATCCACAATCATTCACTAGTCACAGTACTTCACAACTTCCTGAAGCATGCATTATCCCTTAAATAAAAGGGTTTCCAGGTTAATTTCCATATCAAAATCTCAGAATCAGAAAACAATCGTCACAAAAAATCCGCTATTAAGATAATATATATTTCATTTTTTTAATATCCATAGCATGCACTCCAAATCCTTATTCTGTAAACAAGAAAAGCTCAGCAATCCAAATATTGACGTGGACATTCACAATAGCGTACATATTTGGGATGTATAATTAATGGGTCGTGAAACGAATTCTTCTGTGACGGAAATGCGCCTTTTTGGAATAAGTCAATCAGCCCACAAATCGAGACAGAGACAGCAGTCGCAAATGAGCCATCCAAGATAGAGTCGCAGTGTCGCAGTCATTGTGCTGCACCGCTCCATGCCATGACTCCTGTCAACACGGGAAAGGGGGGGAGAAGAGACGTCCAATGGGGTGGGTGTAGTTTACTTAGCATCGTTCATGCTTCCTACGAGTCCCGCACACTACATATGACGCTCCTCCTGTGCGCCGAGCACGCTTATTACCACGAAAGATGGCAGGCCTGGCAGGCGCGCAACTCAGCTGGACGTGGAATTCCGTCGTTGTTTTTCCATCTGTCGCTCGCTCAAGACCTTCTGTAGCTAGTCTAGCTTTCCGTCCGATTTACTGTTGTGGCAAAGCCGCTTCTACAAGTGCTGTCTGCAGTCACTGCTGCCACACCCGGAGCACGGCGGCAGCCTGCGCGTGCTCGCTGCGCGAAACTCGCCCTCTCGCTCCTCTACGCCGCCCTATTCCCCCCGGGACCCGCGCTACAAGCGGACTCGATACAACAACACTGTCTCAGTCAAATCTATCGGCCGTACTCCCTTCCTTCATGGCACGCGCCAGTGGAGCCAGCGTCAACGCTTCAGGCGCCTCTGAAGCAGCGCGATCAGCAGCCACGGAGACCGCGAGCGCTGATGAGAGCAATCAACGGCCTCTGCTCGGCCGTGTGCTCGAACCGCCCCCTGCTGATGTGCACTTGTGGGATTCCCAGTGCTTCTCGGGCCCCGTGGTCGTCGCACCAGTACAGGCTCTACACCGTGAGTCAGCTTCTCAAGGGGAGCCTGGCTCTCTCCCTGACTCGCCGGATCCTGGGGTGCAGGTTGATGGGAGCGCGGTGGGGGATCCTGGTCTATGGCGCATGTACTACTATGGCAGGGATGGCGATTACTGGGCGAAAGGGGTCAAAGCGCTGCCTGTGCCGATTGGTCGGGTGGGGCTTGCTGTCAGTAGGGACGGGGTGACGTGGCAGCGCGTGAGAGGGCCGTTACCTGGCGGTGCTGTGCTGGATCCTGCTGAGTCTGACGAGGCTTTTGACAGTGTCCACGTGGCTGTTGGTGACGTTTTGCGTGCCTGGAATCCAGAACACGTCAGTGGTGATGACTCAGATTTTGGTGATGATGACTCAGCATGTGCCATTGACGACCCAGCATCATGTGCTAGTGATGCTGGTAGCACAGGCACCAGCAGTGCTGCAGCAGGTGGCGACAGCACCACCAGCAACAGCAACAGCAGCGGGCAGCAGGAATGGTGCATGCTGTACTCTGGGGGCAGTCTAAAAGCTGTTGACCTGCCCGGACTGCCCGGAGTGAAAGCACAAGGTGCAGAGATTCAGATAGGAGCAGCGTGGTCGTGGGATGGAGTGCACTTTAACGTCAGGACAGAGAAGCCTGTGTTGGAAAAGGGTGCAGCGGGGGAGTGGGATCAGTTTGGTGTGTCATGGCCTCGTGTTGTCCTGCTTTCCCAGGCGTCCCCTCCTGCTGCTGCTGGTGATTCTGATGCAGAATCTGGCAGCCGCAGTGGTAACCTTGTTACTGCAGACCCGTCTGTTACAGGTGACACGTGGCTCATGACCTACCACACACGCGGGCAGGATGAGCAGGGCAAGGCCGGCTATGCTGCTGGTGCAGCTGTGTCCCGCGATGGTGGCGAGACCTGGCAGCGTTTGGGGAAGGTGTTATCAGGAGGGGGACCAGGGTCGTGGGATGAGCAGGGAGTGTCTGTGCGCAGTGTTGTGTCGGTGCCAGCTGGCAAAGCAGGGCGGAGCATAGATGGCCTTGCTGCTGATGCAGCTGAAGCTGCTGCTGCTGGTACTATTGGTTCAGCTGCGGATGCGTCAGGAAAAGTTGAAATACATGCGGCATGCACTCGCCTCATCATGCTATACGAAGGCTGCAACACCAGCAACGAATTTGCCATTGGCCTTGCCACGTCGGACGACGACGGGCTGACGTGGCACAAGGCCATCGGTGCAGGGCCTGAGCCAGGCGGACCGGTGTTGAAGGCCAGGAGAGGGGAGGACCCATGGGATAATATCCTTGTGGGGGCACCTTACGTGGTTGCTCGCCCGGACGGCAGCCTTTGGATGTATTATGTGGGAGTGGGAAAGATGCAAGGGGATGAGACACCCAGGCAAGGGATTGGGCTGGCTGTGAGCTGCGGCAGTGACTACAGTAGGTGGGAAAGGTATGGTATAACAGGAGAGTTTGAGTCTTGAGAGTAGGCAGCTAGTGTACACTAGGTGTGAGCAGCAAGTTTGTACAGAAGGATGGTTGATACAATATACAATTTTATATTTGCTGAATGACCAGCTACTGTACATAGAAAAGGCAGTACAAATTTGAGCTGCACAACAATCTGGAGATAAAAAAAGCAATCAAACACACTTCTCCCACACACACGGAAGAACATACCGGTACCGTACCTCAAATTACACATGGGAAAGAGACATCCACACCACAGACACACATACGGTACACACACAACCACACCCCTGACAAGTTCACCAGAGAGACGTATGTACTTATATACAAACTGCAGACAAAGAAGCTGCTTGGATTGGCACCCAGTCATGCACAAGGCTGCTTGCAGCTGGTGTGGGTGAGTGGCGCATGCAGCAGGTGCTACTCCGCCGTGTGGTAGCGGCAGATGCGAGACAGGGCCCTCACACTCCACACACACCTCCCACTCCTCTCACCCCTCTGCCTCCCCATGCCCGCTCCATCACTGCCACTGCCACTGCTATGACTGCCGCCGCTGCTGTTGCTGCTACTGCCACTGCTGGCACCACTGGTTCCACTGCTGCTACTGCCACTGCTACCTCCCTCCTCTCCATCCCCCATCACTCCATCTCTTCCCCCATCCTCTACCAGAGACGGATTTTCCCCCTCCCCCTCTTCCTCCTCGTCCTCATCTTCCTCATCATCCTCTTCTTCCTCCTCTTCCTCCTCATACTCCTCAGAGTCCTCCCACACCGAAGCAGCCCTCCAGGCTGGGAGGAACTCCTTGCCTCGGTGGATGGAAGACAGCACAATGCCGAACCTGCCCACCTGCAAGCAGCAAGAGTACTGGCGCTGTCACCTTTCTCGAAACAACGGCAAACAAATAGAGTGAACACGTCCATACTCGGTAGCTGCTCTCACCCTTTTTCTCCTCCCTTTCTCCCCTCGCCCATCTCCCCTCTCCACCCCTTTCTCCCCCCTCCACCTTCCACTCTCCCCCGTATCCCCTCTCCCCTCCCCTATCCCCCTCTCCCCTCCCCCTCTCCCCTCTCCCCTACCCCTTCCCCCTCTCCCACCTCCCCCCTCCCCTCACCTGGTTCAAGTTCCTCAGATCCGCGCCATGTCCCGCAAGCGAGCAGAACTTCCACCCAATCGGCGCGTGACACCTGGCGCACGCCACGTCAGCGACCTGCATGGCGCCCTGCGCGAGCTCCTCGGTGCGCGGTGGGGCAAGCAGGAAGGCGCCCGGGTGCAGTGCATTGCAGTACACCGCCACCTCCGTGCCACTGCCCGCATCCCAGCAGTGCCTCGCACTCAGCACCTGCCCGCCTCGCCCCGTGCGTCATGGGAATGGGAGTGGAAGGGGATGAGGAATGGCGGGTTTGGAAGAGGGAGAAGGGAGAAGGAAAGTGCGGGATAGGAAGGGAAGATGGAGGGAGAGGAGAGCAATGCAGCGTTGCTGGCATGGTTGTGACGAGGAGTGGAGACGCATCTGGCGGCTATATACGTGCAACGGTGCAAGCACCCCACTCCAACACACCTGCCTGTTCCCAGAACCCTGCCCTCACTCACCACCACCCAACCCACCATCCCACAGCCCTGTGGTACCCGTGCGGCCCTCTCGAGTGATGTCAAACAGTACCTGGTGCGAGTGGAAGAGCACGTTCAGGCACGGCGCCTTGCCCTGCGCGCCACTGCCCCCACCCACATGCCCCCGTCGCCCCGAGCACAGTACAGCGTGCCTGCCATCCCCCTCGCCCGACAGCCCATCCGCATACACCTGCACACGCCCCTGCCCTCCACCCCCTGCCGCTGCAACCTCCGCCAACCCCGCCGCTACTGCCGCTGCTGCTGAAGGTTCTGGTGCTGGCGTTGGCAGTGGTGGTGGTGGTGATGGGGATGCGCCCACTAGTCCCGGGTACGAGGCGGGGCGCAGCAGGTCCAGGTACTTGCGCACCAGGAACGCCTTCGCCTCCGCTGCATACAGCCCCAGCTGCTGCCCCGCGCCCCCCGCTGCTGCTGCCGCGCCTTCCGTGGCCGCGGCATGAGCGTGAGCGGGCGGGGCATTAGTAACAGTGTGGGAAGATGGTGGGGCGCTGGGGGGGGGAGCGGGAGACGCGGCGGTGGGGGAGGATGCGCCGGGAGGAGGTGTGTGGGACGCGGCGAATGCGGGGGCGGGGGAGGGGGAGGCGGAGGCGGGAGGGGAGGGGGAGGCGGCGAGGCGGGGGAAGACGGTGCGGACCTGGATGCCGAGGAAGAGCAGGCAGCGCGCGCAGTGCAGCGTCGCCGCGTCCATCAGATGCGCGCACGCCCGTCCCCACGCTGCCGCGCGCGCACACGCAATGGGGCGGGGAGGAGAGGGAAGAAAGTAGTCTAGCGCATGGCACGTTTGCTGCATCGCGACGAATGCGGGGGGGACGGCATGCAGCTAAACCAAGGCCTTACAGAGGCGCGGAAAAACAGTTTCGACCTGGATCCAACAGGTAACTCGTCCTAATCTCCTCTAGGCTGAGCTTAGGCTAGTAGGGATTGAATAGGTAAAAAATTGTCATTCAAACCTGAGCGTACGCGCCAGCGCTACACCAAGGCCTTACAGAGGCGCGGCACGGCGATGAAGGGCACGTTGGAGTGCAGCGCGCGTATCGCCCCCCCTTCCTCCACCTCGCCACCCTGCACGCACGCCGCCGCGCCGTCGTCCAGCAGCAGCAGCAGCGGCACCGACGGCGCGCCCGCTGGCGGCGCTGTGGAGGCGTCGGGCGGAAACAGGAGGACGTTGGGGGATGCGCGGCTGCTGTTGCGAAATGAGGAACCCGCGGGGGAGAGAGGCGGCGCGGAGGGAGGCGGAGAGGGGCGGGTGGTGCAGGGAATGAGGGCGCGCGGGGAGAAGAGGCGCGCGCCGCATGCCTTGCAGGAAAACTCGCGGGCCGTGAAGGGGCGCGCTATGCAGCGGAGGTCCTGCGGGGCATGGGGGAGTCTCGGAGAGACGAGGGGGAAAGAATGATGGGGGGAGACCAAGGAAGGGACAGAATAGGGTGCTGAGAGGAGTTCCGCATCGCGCGTGGCTTGGGAAAGGGATGGCGGTATTAGCGATGTCACGGTAGTCGCCACTGTAGCGTTTACAGGCTCAAAGAGATTCGCTCAGCGCAAGGTGAAAAATAAGAAATTCCGTGATAAAAGAAGCGGTAACAGCGGCGAAAGCGGCAAGAGCGGCAAAGAGGCGCACCTTGCAGGTGAGAGCGAGCGAGACAGCATCCTTAGGAGAGAGCGAAGCGGCGATTAGCGCCTTGGCGGTTTCCGGCAGCCACTGGAACTCGCGAAACTGCGGCGCACACTCGGCCGCCGCCATTGCTGCTCAATGCGCGGAGCAGAGGCGCTTCGCGAATCGTGGGACGAGTCAATCCCCGCTCCGCTCAGGTGATAAGTGGGAGAAGGTGGGAATGCTCGATAAGTGGCAAGTTGGGGTAGGACATGAGGAGGAACTGTGCATTTAGAAGGGGGAAACAGGTGAAGGTGATGCGCGCAGGAATTGGGGAATTGGGGGGTTATCTGGGGGGAGGAGTACAGATGTTCTGGCTTAGAGGTCCTTTCTAAAAGAGTCCCATTTCCCCAACGAGTATAATTTTCACACCATTTCCCCAACGAGTAGAATTTTCACATAAGTCCTAGGTGTATCCAATCCTCTACAGTCCCCTTTTTGGCAGGAAATCTTGCATCTCGACTGAATCATTGCACGAATCAGTTCTGCAGCCAATCAGAGGACGCAAATCGAACCAGTCAGAAAATTTACAGAAAATAAAACGAGAGGAAGTTTCGGTTCACTATTTATTTTTGCAATTATGATTGTCTGTTTCTCTTGATCGCGCTTGTGTCTAAATCCTGTCGCAGTGTTCCCCGCGAGCTCCGACGATACCATCTAACTAATCTCGCTTACAGTGTAAAACAGAAAATGATGGCTTTTGTTTTGGCCTTAAACATGATTTTATTTTGTATTTTTCTGCCCGTTTGTCTTGCGACACTGATCAACGCGGCGAATCGTGCGACGAGAATTTGAAGACAGCGTAGTCCGAATGTACGTATGTGATAAAAAAACACGAATATTAGCGAAGACATTTCACCTTTCATGCAATTTTTCTTATATGGGACTAAAAGTTCCCTTTTGCCCGGGGTTTGTGAGTTTTCCACAAAGGCCCGCAGCGCGCGTGTTTTTCACGGGGACTCTAATCGAGAACATTTGTACAGTCTCGGGTGCGGCGCGTGTTTTTCACGGGGACTCTAATCGAGAACATTTGTACAGTCTGGGGTGCGGGGGGGCTGAAATGGGGGGGAGTGAGGGCGGACGGTGGGTGACTTGCCCGTGGCGGAGGGCTCCGAGGCAAACATTGTCGCAGCAGAGGCGCAGTTGCATTGGCATGATGGGTGTACTGTGTAAAAAGCGCTACTGCTGGTGGCGGGTAGGGCGGGTCCAGCGCATACGTTTTCCGTTCATTACTGTTCATCCAATGCGGTATTCTGTTTTCCGTCACGGTACAAAACGGTACAATTTCAGAACCGTTGTGCAACGCTTGATAACAGAATTGTGCAATTTACTCAACCCTTGAAATTGTCAGATCAATCAATGCACACATATATATATATATATAATCCCGATTGAATCCAAACGACCACCCAGAGAGATCTTACAGTTGGTACCAACTAAACACCATCCAAAGGGTGGTACGGTAAGCTCGTTCCTCCCCACCATCCAGCTTGTATTGCATCTGTACAAGTGATACTCACACCCTTGAGATTGATCAACCGGAGCTCCACCCTCACGGTGTGTTCCCTGCAGCTACGGGCTTGCTGGTGGCTGCTGGTGCAGGATCTCTCACAGCATTACCTCCTGCCCACCCTGCAGCAGTTGGCCTGTGCTGCACCTGCTGATTTTGCTTTGCATGTGCTTGAGATTGATCAACCGGAGCTCCACCCTCACGGTGTGTTCCCTGCAGCTACGGGCTTGCTGGTGGCTGCTGGTGCAGGATCTCTCACAGCATTACCTCCTGCCCACCCTGCAGCAGTTGGCCTGTGCTGCACCTGCTGATTTTGCTTTGCATGTGCCTTCTCCGCCACCTTCAACCCAGCAGTGCCGCTCCCATCCATCCTGTTGACTGCATTGACTCCCTGAACCCCATTGACTTTCTTTCTCTGGGCATGTCTCGCCTGCCACACACGTGTGCCCATGTGCCCTGCAGTAGCAGCGTGCGCAGCCGCCTTAGCCTTGAATCCATGCTTTCTTGTTCCCGTGCGAAACTGCTTCGACCTGTTCCCAGCCTTACTAGTAGATGCTCTCAACCATTGCTTGAATCTTCCCCACAGCTTACCCATTTTTCCATATGCCAAAGTACTAGCTGCAGCACTCCCACCAGAACCAGCCGTGCCATAGTCCGTGTAATCCCCTGCACTGTAATCTCCACTGTAGTCTCCTTCGTTATAATCACCGTTGCTGTCATCTCCAGTATAGTCATCGCCCTCACCACTGTAGTCGCCATCCCCATAGTCATCTCCGTCATAATCACCATCACTACCGCTACCATCTCCGTTGCCATCTGCACCTTCGTAATCACCACCATCGTCATAATCACTGCCGTTGCCAGAACCATCACCATTGCCGTAATCACCGCCACTTGCACAGTCAGAGCCATCCCCGTAGTCACCACCGTTGCCACCACCGTAATCTCCGCCATAGTCACCTCCGCCATTGTCTCCCCCGCTTCCACCCCCATTACCACCGCCAGTGCCGCCGCTAGTCCCACCCCCAGTACCACCCCCAGTGCCGCCGCCAGTGCCGCCCCCAGTTGACCCCGTGCAGCTGAAGTCCACATCTGCCTGGCCACTGCAAGATGTCATCACAGGGCGACAGAGAGACACATGGGGGACAAACACGGATACCCTGTGTTGAGGTGGTTTGCGGCTGCCACGCGGAGCGCCGAACGGCGGCTGCTACGCGGAGCGCCAAACGGTGCCGTCGTTGACCTAACGAGACTAATCTACAAGCTATGAACGGTGCGGAAGGGAGAAAGCTATGGCAGCAAGGAGTTTGAGAAGAATCGGGAGAAGAAAGGAAAGGAAGAAAGGGAAATGTGTGGAAGACCTAGTTGCGATGTGCAGGAAGTGTCGAGATTGTTCGTGGCTGGATTTGGGCCAACCACAACGCACCGTAATCGGTTCGCTGGTTTCGGTGTGTGTTTCGGTTACCACGCGGTTTCGCGTGCAACGCGATATGAGATGCAGCAGACGCGTTACACGAGTCGCACAGTGCTGAAATTGGTTGGATATATAATGCTTGTTCTGTTTTGCAATGTCATTACCAATTCCAGTGAAAACCCAACTGAAAATCCAGAGACCAAGTGCTGAAACCTGTCAACCTACATAGTGGCCAGACACTATCCCCAAGTAACAGCTGGTATCAGAGCCTCGTTATAGGCACATTTGGATTCGTAATTAGCACAATTAGTGCGCGGAACGACTTGGCGAATTTCGTCAACGAAAGGCGAGTTTCAAAGGCATGGGAAACGGCAGCGGTGAAGCGAGCTCTGGTTCCTCGGTGAACATAGACGGCTCCCAGGTGCAAATACTCTTGGAGGCCCTGGTGCAAGGGCAAACGGTGGCCAAGCCAACGATAGGCTTGAGCGAGGCGTAACGCTTCAATGGAAGCGATTATAGCACGTGGAGATTGAAGTTCATCCGGCGTGCACGCGAGGTGGGGCTCTGGAGACTCTACCATCCGACGAAAGGGGAGGAAGACGCGCCTCCATCTGAAACGGCGTCTGCACAAGTCAAGGCAGCATACCGGAGAAAGAGTGAGCAAGCTTACTTTCAGTTGTGTCATTCGGTTTCGGATGCTATCGCTGTGGGCCTTGACCAATTCGCGGACGACCTGAATTCTGCCGAGAAGGCATGGAGCTATATGGATGCGGTGTACCTCGGGCGGAGTGACACGAACCAGACTGCGATAAATAGGAAGCTACTGCTGCTCGGGATGGAACCAGCAGAGAGCGTCATCGATTACGTTAATCGTGCTAAAGGTTACAACGAGTGTCTAGCGGCTATGGGGGCAGCCGAACCGGAAAGCCATATGGTCAGCTACATCATCAACGGCCTACCTAAGGACTGGGAGGGAGAGAAAGGAGTACTCACCTGCAATCCACCGAAGGACATCACCCGCTTGCTTGAGATGCTGCAGTCGCTCGAGCAAATCCGCTACAACGGAGTGCAGAGGGAGACGCTCGTGGAATCTGCCGAGGAGAAACCGGCATTGCTGAACGCCTCTAAGGCAGCAAGGGGATTCGGCCCTGGCCCTTGCTTTCACTGCGGGAAGAAAGGGCATAAGGCAGCAGAGTGTTACTCCAATCCACGCAGCCGCAACTTCAAGGGAAAAGTGAATAGCAGTGACGCAGCAAACAGGGAAGGAGTGAGACCACGAGGGTCGTTTCCTGGAAGCTGCAATCACTGTGGCAAGTACGGACACAAGGCGTTCGAGTGCTTCACCAACCCAGCCAGCAAGAACTACAGGGGAGGACAGCAGCAAACAACAGCAACACCAAGGATAAATGCAGCTGAAGCGGGGAAAAGCGAAGGTGACGCGATCTTGGGAGGCGCCCACAAAGCGAACGTCGCGCGAGCTTCTGAAGTGTGTTTGTTGGCGAAGGGGCTGAAAGAAACAAGTTGGTTTCTGGACAGCGGTTGCACGCAGCATATGACGCATCGTGCGGCCTGGCTACAGAACTTTCGACCTTCAAACATACCTTGCGTTTTGTTGGGCGATGAGGGACAGCTACCTGTCAAGGGAGAAGGGGACTTGGTGCTGCGAAGTCCGTACGGGGAGCTGAAACTGGACAACGTCCTCCTTGTGGAGAAGCTGACTTTGAACCTGATAAGCCAATCACAATTGGACAGCAGTGGGTGCAAGACATTTAGCGACAACGGCAAGCTGTGGGTGTTCGACTCTGATTGGAAGGTGGTTGCGGAAGGAGCACGCAAGGAAGGGTTGTATGAAATGTGTTTGAAGGAGTGCAACAAAGCAGCAGAGACAACCTTTCAAGCTGAACCAGAGGAAGGGAAGGTGGCACGGGAGGAGCTACGTGCCATGCTAAACAAGATACCGATGGCGGTGCTACAGCAACAAACTCCACCACTAGCCGCAGCAGTGGAGGGAATCACTATGGAAACACTCCATAGGAGGATGGGACACGCGAGCGACCAACACATTAACGAGCTCTTGGATAAGAACATGGCAGTGGGAGTGAAAGTATCCAAGGGGGAAAAGGAGAAGCTGAAGTGTGGCGCGTGCGTGGAAGGAAAGTCTACGAGGACATCACACCCTAGGCATGGTACCCGGCAGCCATATGAGACGCTCGAGATTGTTGCGGCAGACATATGCGGACCTATGCGTGTGGCATCCCGGCACGGCAGCAAGTACTTCATAACGTTCACCGACCTTGGGACGAGGCATACATGGGTGACCGAGATCAAGGAGAAATCTGAAGCGCTCTCGAGCTTCATAGATTGGTTGGCGGAAGCAGAACGACAAAGCGGAAAGGAGCTCAAGGTGTTACGAACGGACAATGGAGGGGAATTTCTCAATACGGACTTCAACTCCTACTTACGCGCTAAGGGCATTCGACGCCAACTTACCATACCCTACACCCCGCAACATAACAGCGTGGCGGAGCGAGTGAATCGATCGTTGTTGGAGAGCGTTCGAAGCATGCTATCGGATAGTGGGCTTCCCCTATCCTATTGGGGCGACGCTTTGGGGATGGCGTGCTGGCTGAAAAATCGCTTACCTACTACGGGACTTGCAGCGGACATCACGCCTCATGAAGCGTTTTACCATCGAAAGCCGAGCTTGGAGTTCCTGCGCGTGTGGGGCTGCATGACTCAATACCGTGAACCGGCTGGTCCCGATCATAAACTCCTGCCACGGACCAAGTGGGGGGTTCATTTAGGCATATGTCCAGTGAGCAAAGGATGGGTGATCAAGAATGTGGACAGCGGCAAGGTGACAGCAACCCGTGACGTCATTTTCTACGAAAATCTCAACTACCGAGAGTGGAAGGACGGGGCAAAGGCTCCTGCAGCAACTGACAAGTCTACTAACCCTCAACCAGTCCAAGAACTGCTGGGAAGTGGGGCTGATGGGATAGGGACAGCAAGTGATGTGAGTGCAGCGGAGTTAGAGGACGACGACTCACCCGTGACTTGGGTGTGGGAGACTACCCCGACAACTGAGGGTGACACGGTAGCGGAACCTGAAGGGCAGCCGGGTGATGCAGCAACTAGTGGCCAGCAAAGTGATCAAGCAAGGAATGACCAGCAGCCGCCAGCTACTAGTGAAGCGAGTGATCCATGGCGGCTGTTTGATGCGGACAGCAGTGACGAAGCAACGGGGGAGATTGATAGCTTGCTAGAAGAAGGTGCGATATTGATTGGGCGCGAGGAAGAGGAGCAGCAAGATGAGAGCCAAGGACCTACCGAAGCCGAAGCAGAGTCACCTGCACCAGCCGCACAAGAAGAAGAATTGGGCAGAGGCATGCGGATTAAGCGACCCAACCCAAGATACGCAATGATCCTCATGACGTGTTGGCGCGACGTGCACACCCATCTGCTACTTACCACAACCGCAACGGCACTAATTTCCAAGGAGCAGCATACAACCTACGACTTACCACCCGAACCAGTGACTATTGAAGAAGCTCTCACCGGACCTTACAAGGAGAAGTGGCGAGCTGCAATTCAATCGGAGCTTGACACGCTTGCCGAACGAGGAACGTGGGAGCTAGTCAAGATGCCGGAAGGAAGGCGGCCTGTCAGAGTCAAGTGGGTGTTCAAAATCAAGACGAGAGATATGGGGCAGCTCGAGCGCTTCAAGGCTCGATTGGTAGCAAAGGGCTACACTCAAGTGGAGGGTGTGGACTACGGGAAAACTTACGCATCGGTTTGCAACCTCACAACGGCAAGGACATTTCTCAAGGTGACCGCGGCACGAGACTACCACTTGGTGCAATTGGACATCACCAACGCCTTCCTTTATGCCATCTTGAAGGAAGACATCTACATGAACCAGCCCCCCAGGTGTGAAGACGGAACGGACAGAAAGTGCAAGTTTCTCAAGACTCTCTTTGGGTTAAAACAGAGCCCAAGGGAGTGGTACAAGACAATGAGCGAGCAACTACTCAAGGTTGGCTTCGTGAAGAGCGAGTGTGACCGCGCATTCTACATGAAGGGGAAAGGGCAAGACAAGGTGTACCTCCTACTCTATGTGGACGATATTTTGGTGGCGGGGGCAGTCAAGGAGAGAGTGGAGGAGGTGTGCACACAACTAGCAGCAGTATTCAAGGTCAAGCAAATTCCAAGGGCCTCGCTTTTCCTCGGGATGAACCTGGAGCGTAACCGGCATGAGAAGACGCTGATGCTACATCAAAAGAAGTACTTTCAGCGGATGCGAGCTAGATATGGCCCACAAGGGAAGGGACGGGCTGTGGCAACACCTCTCAGCGGCATAGCAGAGAAGGAAGTGGACCCTAATGAGGAAGTTACAAGGTGGGGCAGCAGCGACAAGGCACTTACCGCCTATCAGTCAAGGGTGGGCTCCGTGATGTATCCCGTGTCATGCACAAGACCGGATGTTGCCTATGCTGCGAGCTTCCTTGGGCAGCAAGTGCTACAACCGGAAGGGCGGAAATGGAGAGAGATGGAGAGGACAATGACCTACCTGCTGCAAACGGACGATGCAGGATTGTTGTTTGAGGGAGGAGAGGAAGACATGAAGCTAGTGGGGTACGCCGATGCCTCACATGCCTCGGACAAGAAGACACGCAAAGGCGCATACGGCTACGTTTACCTACTTGGAGGGACGGCAATCGCTTGGACAGCAAAGAAACTTCAAGACACCACCCTCTCAAGCGCCGAATCTGAATATATGGCACTATTCTACGCGTGCCAAGAGGGCGTGTGGCTGCGACGACTCCTACGAGAGTTCGACATCCCCATTCAAGGGCCAACTACCATCCGAACGGATAGCCAATCAGCGATCGACCTTGCGAACAATGACAATTGGCATGGGCGCACCCGACACATGGATGTGAAGTATCATTGGGTGCGCGAGCAGCTCGAGAAGAATACGTTTGAGTTCGAGCACGTACCATCAGAGGAGCAAGCAGCCGACTTTCTCACCAAGGTCCTGCCCAAATCGAACTTTGAGCATTGCAAGTCACTCGTGGGTATCCGTGCCCTTCGAGACCTGCAGGGGAGCAATGGGCAGCCGTATAAGCATATGGTTGCGATACTGAGGGCTGCTGGTTACACGGTAACCTAAGTGATGCTGAGGAGAGGAGTGGCATCCCCAAACCACAGGGGAGGTTGTTGAGGTGGTTTGCGGCTGCCACGCGGAGCGCCGAACGGCGGCTGCTACGCGGAGCGCCAAACGGTGCCGTCGCTGACCTAACGAGACTAATCTACAAGCTATGAACGGTGCGGAAGGGAGAAAGCTATGGCAGCAAGGAGTTTGAGAAGAATCGGGAGAAGAAAGGAAAGGAAGAAAGGGAAATGTGTGGAAGACCTAGTTGCGATGTGCAGGAAGTGTCGAGATTGTTCGTGGCTGGATTTGGGCCAACAACAACACACCGTAATCGGTTCGCTGGTTTCGGTGTGTGTTTCGGTTACCATGCGGTTTCGCGTGCAACGCGATATGAGATGCGGCAGACGCGTTACACGAGTCGCACAGTGCTGAAATTGGTTGGATATATAATGCTTGTTCTGTTTTGCAATGTCATTACCAATTCCAGTGAAAACCCAACAGAAAATCTAGAGACCAAGTGCTGAAACCTGTCAACCTACATAGTGGCCAGACACTATCGCCAAGTAACACCCTATTCAGTCTGCGCCGCCACGTGGGAGGACAGCCTCGGCAGTAGCTGACGCCAGCACAAGACAAGCAACTCTGGTGGTAGATAGATGTAGAACACAGATAGCAGAGGTGAGAGTCGTGATGCAGCAAGATAGTGGGTGGCTGAGGGTGCTAGTACGAGGGAGAGCGGGTTGTGGCTACAAGGGACGTACTAGTTGCCGCCGTGGTCGGCGACAGTTGAAGACTGGTCGCTGGAGAAGGCCCAGATGAGGCTGTTGCTCCCCGCCATGCTCACGGGCACTGACCGATGACCGAGAGAACCTGCGGTAGCGATCAGGAAAGCACAGAGAGCGGCGCAATGAGAGGGAGATTTAATAGTAGGTAAATGCATTTACGCGTGACATTCGCCGTGGGAGTGGAGTGAGCGATCTACTAAAACTGATGGTACCAACACGCGGTGCGACACGGCAACGCGACTGCTGTGGTGCGCACATGTCACACCTCCAACGATGCCGTCAAACGTTAAGTCTCGCAGCGGCGGCGAGTCACGTACTTGATGAGCGAGCCGCCATTGGCGGAGGAGGCGGAGCCGATGGAGAAGCGGCTGGTGGGGCGCACGCCCGCCTTGCTGTACCCGCCTATGGCGTACGCCTTCACCGCGCCGCCCGGAAGCCCGCCAATCACGGCGTCGGAGCCGGGCATTCTGTCGTCCGGCGACCACGCCACCGCCACCCACCCGCTGGCCGCCGCGCCGCCAACCTCCATGGCGAGGGAAAGGCTGCCGCCGCCCGCGCCTTTGGCCCAGTGGAGCACGAGACTGGGCAAGCGGGAAGGGAGGAAAGGGGGAGGGGGGAAAAGCGTCAAAGAAGGGAAGGGAGGAAAGGGCCAGATTCGGAAAGCGCTATGGCGAGGTGGGAGTGGGAGAGATGGGGAAGCGACTCGGAGAGAGACCGTACTCGGATCCTGAGAGTGCGACGGAGGACGTGTAACCTGCGATCGACGACGCCGAACACCCTCCGACCGCGGCCTTCACGGCGACTCCAGTGGCGGTTTTCGCACTAGCTGCGCCGGTTGTCGCGGCAGTTGCAGAGTTCACTGTGGTGTGCTGCGGCGAGCGCACGACCCTGCCGTGCGCGTTCAGCCGTCCCATGGATCTGGTAGCAGAAGCCGCGCCGGGGAGGCGCCTGGGTCGGTGCGGTACGGTGTACGCACATGCTGCCAGAAGTGTCGGGCGGACGTGCACCTGAAGCAAGAGGAGAAGCAGCGCGGTTAAGAGGGCTTTTGCTGGCGCCGCAATCACGGGCGTGAGGCTCGGACGACTCGGACTCAGAGTTCGAGGAGGAGTCAGCATCATGGAAAGAAATAAGTTGCTAGGAAAACAAATGTCAACCTACTACGAGTTCTGTACGTTTTGCAGCGACTATTTGTATGCATGCCCCTAGCCCAGCGGATGCGGTTCCCCTCCACGCATTTTGTGTGGGGGTGTGTGGAGGTATCAGGTGTCCAGCTCGAACGTCTCGGTACTTTCTTTGCGGTGTGATTCATTTCGTCACGGTACAAAACAGTGTAGCTCAAAACCGATTTCTACCGTGTGGAACCGTCAAGGGCTGCAAACAATGTTGTGCACTTCGGACTAGACACATGCTCTGGGGCACAAGCAGCAACTCACATCGCCAGCAGTCGAAGCTCCACCACCACCCCACAGGCAACAAGGATATGAAAGGGATTGGTGCGCGGTGCAGAGGGGTAGTGGGAGCGTTTACAGCTGTTCACCTCTTTTCGCCCGCCTCCCACCTGCGGCTCGAAGAATGTGGTGGAACAAGAATGTGTAAAGACGTGAGGTCGCAAAAAGTCCAAATTTCCGTTGACCATTTCAACTGCGGCCATTATCTCCGATACTCAGATTTTGCCTGAGCGCGTTCTCAGGTGTAATCAACCTGGACTTTCTCAACGTTGATTGGTCGTCGCTTTTTAGTCACAATTCTCACGCTGGTCGAACTCATTAGGAAGTGACAAAAACAAAACCATCCACTTTACCCTCCCGACCTGGATATATGTACGGAAATTAAGGTAGTAAGAGAATGAAGCCCATAAAATTCACTTGGTAGTGCTCAGTAGCGCAACCGACCGCTAAACAACGCTACAGAAAGCACTAGACGACGCTACCGAGACCTATTCGGGCATGGCAGAAAAAAATAAAACCCCTAGGGAACCTGGATGCATTTTCGATTGGGGTCAACCCTAAACACGGAAATGGGCATTGTTTTTAGGGTTGATGCCTCCCGAATCGCATCCCTTTCCGAGGTGGGTATTATTTTTTTTGTCAAGTGGGTTGCAATATGTTTTCCAAAATATTTGGAGGCTTTCGGTGTTTAGGGTTGATCCTTCATGGAAAACATATAGGTTCGTTACGGACATTATATTAATTTATTGCAAGTGCTAGACTTCCTATTTTTGAGTGATTGTATACAAACATGAAACAGAATAGATTCACACTATATCGAGAAAATGTGTTTCTGTTGGTGATTACACCTGAGAACGCGCTCAGGCAAAATCTGAGCATCGGAAAAAATGGCCGATTTCAACTGGGTCGTGGCATCCTAATCACCTTCATCCAACGAAATACGTTGGAAGGTGTTACGGGTGCAATGAATCGAAGTAGCGAGAATTGCACTAAGGTGTCAAACGAGTACAAAGATGTGAGCGAAGGCATGAGCGAACATTTATACGCGAAACATGCAAACGGTAACGCGGTGCGAGCGAGCTAGCTAGTGCTATGCTGGCAGCGAGGCTCGGGCTAGTCCCGAAGCGTAGGCCGACACAGCCGGGCCAGCAGTGCGAGGTTTGGCAAAACAGTGCATGCGAAGTTGACGAAGTCCCGTTAGCAGTAACGGGCGAACAACGGCTGTTGCTGTACGCGATGTAGTCGGGCTCCGTAAGGAATGCCGAGAAAATTCCTTACACTACCCCCCCCCCCCCCCCTCAAGAAGCCCCCTCTGCTACGCGAGTGCGTGTATATCGCGGAATCCCCGGCTCCTTAGGTACACTTGCAAGGCAGGGTGGTTTTCAATGTTGGCCAGGGGTACCCAACTATCTTCAGTTGGCGTGCGGTCCTTCCAGTGAACGAGGAATTCAATCCTCCTGATTCAAGTGGGGTGTCGAATCCGATGGCTCATGATTTTTTCGGGCTCGATGATCGGCTCCGATGCAGGGCGAGTCATGGATGGCGGGCGGTGGCGAGGCAGTTGGCTTGTGGTTGGGATGTATGGGCGAAGCAAGCTGGCGTGGAACAAAGGGCTGATGTACCAATTGGTCGGTAACAGTAGGTGCGCGGTTACTGGCGTGATCATGTGGCTGATTTGGAATGGGCCACAGTAGCGCGGTCGAAGTTTCGGTACGTCGGGCAGTCGCAGATTTTGTGTGTCGAGCAGTACGTAATCCCCTGACTGGTGTGTGACGGGGCGGCGGTGGCGGTCAGCGTTGTGCTTAGCGATGACGTTTGCTTTTTTAATTGCTTCTGCGGCTCTGGTACGGGCAGCTTGCAGAATTTCGACGAATTGTTGTGCGCGTGGTGTTGGGTTGTCCGGACTCGGCGTCATCGATACTGTAGGATTTTGCCCGTAGTTCAGGTAGAAGGGGGACTGCTGTGTAGTCGCTGACGTGGCGATGTTGTACGCGAACTCAATCAGCGGCAGCTGCTGCTCCCAAGCCGTGGGGTCGTCGCACGTGGCACGAATCAACTGCTCCATCGTCTGATTCGTCCGCTCCGTTTGACCGTCGGTCTCGGGGTGGTACGACGAACTGAACTGTAGCCTGGTCCCGAACTGCTCCCAGAGGTTCTTCTAGAAGTTGCTGGTGAACTTCGTATCCCTGTCGCTGATAATCGCTGCTGGTATCCCGTGCCGGCGAATAACGGCTGCGATGAACAGACGAGCGGTCTCCTCGGCTGAGATCGACTTTTTGCACGCAGCGAAGTGTGCTATCTTCGTGAACCTGTCAACGACGACCATCACCGCGTCGTTACCCCCAGGGTTCGAAGGTAACCCTATGACGAAGTCCATGGTAACCTGCTGCCAGGCGCGCTCGGGCGGTGGTATCGGCTGCAATTGACCCGCCTTCCGCTTCCTCGAGCTCTTCATTACATGACACGTGGGGCACGAGCCCACGTGCTGCTGCACGTCGGTCAACAGCTCCGGCAAGTAATAATACCGCTGCAGTTGCTGTCGCGTTTTTTCGACCCCAAAATGTCCCGAGGTAATTCCGTCGTGTGCCTCCTGCAGTAGCAGCTCCCTCAGTAGTGAGTACGCGGGTACCCAGATGCGGTTGGTGCCTGTTTTTTACGTAATAAACTCCTTTAGCTTCTGACAGTTGCTGTGAATTTCCGATTGTGAAAAACGGGTCTGTGCGGTATCCGTGGGTGAATAGGCCTGTTAACAACGGGTTGGTTTGGGCGAGTAGGATGGCATGGAGTTGGGCGGTGGGGCGAGTGAGTGCGTCGGCGATGTTGAAGGCGCCTTTCTTGTACGTAACCGTGTAGTGGAAGTTGGACTCGAGGTAGTCCAACCAGCGAATCTGTCGCGGGTTGAGATTTGGTTGGGCGCGTAGGTACTGTAGTGATCGGTGGTCTGTCCGTATTGTCACGTCGGCGCCAGTCAGGTAACACCGCCAAACCTTGAACGCGTGCACGATCGCCAACATTTCGCGGTCGTGTTTCGGGTAGTTGCGTTCGGGCGGGTGCAGCTTGCGGGACTCATACGCTATTGGCTGGAGGCCGTTCCCGAAATCCTGCAACAGTACTGCTCCCACAGCGATGTCACTTGCGGCAGTGACGAGCTCGAACGGACGGTGTAGATCTGCGATGTGAAGCACGGGCGGTGAGCACAAAATGTTTTTGAGGGCCGGGAAGGCAGCTTGCTCTTTCTCCCCCCACGTGTACTCAACCCCCTTCCTCAGCTGGTCTGTCAGCGAGGCAGTCAGCTTCGCCATGTCGGGGACGAACTGGCGCACGTACTTGACGAACCCCAAAAAACTCTGCAACTCGGTCAAGTTGGTTCGCGCATGCCATGCTTGAATCGTCGCAATTTTCTTCGGGTCTATTTCCACTCCTGGGGCTGGAATAACGTGTCCCAAAAATTCCAAGCGGTCCTGTAAAAACTCATACTTAGACGCTTTTGTCAGTAGGCGGTTCTCACTCAGTATTTTAAAAACTGCTTCGATGTCCTGTAAGTGCTATGCTCTGTCAGGGCTGTAATGTGAGAATTGAGGAATGAAGAAGAGGGAGAAGGTTCACTAGCAAACATTGGGATACATAGAGCAAACCCTAAAAGGGTTGTACTCACTATAGAGTACCCCACTGCAGACTAGAGAAACATAATATTCTGACATGTAAATCAGTATGTCGTCCAGGTATACGATGACGCACTTATCTAAGAGTGGGCGGAAAGCTTCGTCCATGGTCATTTGAAAAGTGGCGGGGGCGTTGGTCAGTCCGAAGGGCATGACGGTGTATTCTAAGGATCCGTAGCGTGTTTGGAATGCGGTCTTAGGGCAGTCGGGCGGATTGACGCGAATCTGGTGGTAACCCCCTCGGAGGTCGATTTTCGAGAAAACCCGGGCTGTGCGGAGTTGGTCGATCAGTTCGTCAGCTCGCGGGATGGGGTAACGGGATTTGATGGTAACCCTGTTCAGTGCTCTGTAATCTATGCACATGCGAAATCCCCCGTCTTTTTTCGGTGTGAACAGTATCGGTGCGGCGAAGGGCGACGAACTAGGGCGAATGAATTCCTTCTCAAGCAGGTAATCCAGCTGCTTCCTCAGTTCGTCCAGTTCGGGCTGGGTCAGTCGGAACTGTCGCTGTACTACTGGCTGTGCCCCCGGTTCTAACTCTATCCTGTGGTTGTGCGGTCGCTGAGGTGGCAGTCTCGTCGGTAAATCGTCCGGGAAAATGTCGCTGTACTGCTTCAACAGTGCTGCCAGATCACTCGGTACGTCGGCCAGCAGTTTCTGTAAATCCCCTCCTTTGTCTGCTGCCTCGGCTTCCTGAATGTCGACCGCCTGCACGCCAGCTCCTGCCGCTACGGCGCGTTTCATCGTGATCGCGTTGACACGCACTGACGAAGACTCAGGCGAGCCCCAGCGAGGTAAGGCAATGTTGTTACCGTTCACTCGCACAATGCAGTCACCCGTCGTCCAATCGATTCGCGAATTGTGTCGTCGCAGCCATCACGCCCGAGTAAAATATCGGTTCCGTCGAGGGTTGTTGCAAGCATTTCCGGGCTAAACGTGAAGTTACCCCCACATCGAATCCGAACCCGGTCTATGCGTTCCCGTATTGCCACCGGCGGGCTGTCTACC